ATCACATTTTCTAAAATACCTTAAGGATGTTTTATAGATCTATCAGCAAATTATAAAGTTACAGTCGAAGGTTTAAGATTAGAAATATTAAATTTATCACAAATACTTGTAGGTAATAAATTAATACTAGCACTGGTGTCAAGTAATGCATTCTGAAAAATGGATCCACCAACATTACACAAAATTAAAGGGACACTTGTATCTCTCAATTTATATGCTAATTGATTTAATAATAAAACACTAGTATACATAGATAATTTTTATACTCTAGGTGCCCTTTTTGGTGTACACATTTCTTTCAAAACTCGAGTATATTTAGGAATATGTTCAATGACAGTGAGTAAAGGAAGACTAATTTGCATATCTTGTAAAATTTTCTTTATTTCTTCATTGTGTTCCTTTTTCTTTCTTTGTCTAGGCTCTAGAGTTTTAGGAAATGGAATGGTTGTCCTCTCTTTTGAAATTTCCTTGGTAGAATCTATAAAATCCTCTTTTACTCTTATTTGATTTTGTTTTAGGCTGTCCACGTTTTCCTTTTCTTCTAATGTTTGGGGATAAGGATCAGATAAGATCTTACCACTCCTTAATGCATTCACTGTCCTAACATTTTCATTTCGTGGGTAGTTCCCCTTGTTGAAATACTATTGTTGGGTATTTCCCTAGATTTTCTATGGGCTGACTAGGTAGTTGTCCGTCCTCTCTCTTATTCTCGAAAGCCTCTATAATTTTTTTCTACTGTAGCATCATTTGATTCATAGTTTGTTACATCATTTGGCTCATTTGCTACACCATTTCCATAGTATCAAGTTGGGTTTGAGGGAGTTGATTTTCTGAAATCTGTTTTCTTATTTTGGACGAAATTTAGAGTTTGAATTGGGTCTAAGTGCTTCTGGATTTTGAATATTATTTGGGTCTCTCCATGAAAATTAATTCTTCTAATTAGAATTATAAGAATTTGAAAAAGGCTCCCTATTTTTATTAAAACTGTGAGCTACTTCTTGCATAGGGTGAAATGATTGATCTAAATTATAACATTGAAATTTAGAATAATCATTTTCACCATAGGACATGTACTATTTGAATTAAATTGAGGGTTAAGAGGCTTTCTAATATTGTCAATAAGTAAATCAAGTTTTTTAAATCTTTGATTAATCTAATTAACTTCATTTCTTAAATTAGAATCATCATTATAATGCAATTCATAAATTCCTCTCTTCTTATCCTTGTCATATAATTTAAAAGAGGCTTGATCTCTAGAATTTTTACTTAAATTCTCATAAAGACTGTAAATCGTATTAAGGGTTTTCTCCATAAAAGTTCCTCCACATATAAAATCAACCGTATTTCTATATTTTTCTAATAATTCATCATAAAAAATTCTATTGAGCTGCCACTTGGGTATAGCATGATGAGGACACTTTCTAAATAAATCTTTGAATTTTTCCTATGTCTCATGTAAAGTTTCTCCTGATCTTTGAGAAAAATTCCATATATGATTTCTCATATTTTGAGTTTTTCCTAAGAGATAATTTTTTTGAAGAAAGGCTTATTCTATGTCTTTTCAACTAGTTAATTCTCTATCTAACGTGGATAGCCAATGGCTAGCTTTGTCCCTAAGTGTATGAGGAAATAATTTCATCTTAATAATTTTCGGTGTAACTTGAGGGAGATTAACTAAATCACAGATCATATGAAATTTTTCTAAGTGCTGATGAGGTTCCTCTAAAGGCAATCCATGAAAATTAGGGAGCATTTGAAAAATTCTTAGATTTATTTTAAATTTAATAGTGGGTGCTAATGGGACTCTAATATTGGATGCTCTTTGAAATGAATCAAGGGTATAATAATTTTTCATGGCCATAAGATTGTTCTCAATTTGACCTGTACTTCCTTTAGGATCCATCAAAATTAATTTTTCTTTTGGATTTTTAGTTTTGAATGAAATAATGAAAGAATTTTCTAGCCTTGGATGCAAGGATCTTCTACCATGTATAAAAAATCAATAAATTTGAGAAAAACGTTTAGTAATTGTTACCCTCCTTTGATATGCTCCACTCTTTACCTTACTTCTCTTTGTTCCTTTTTTTCTAAAAAAAAATAATTGGCAAGAAGAAAATAAAACAAGAGTTAAATTTTTTTGTGTACTCTAAAAGAAAAATAGAAAAATACTAAATATTATGCAATACATCCCCACCAACGGTGCCAAAATTTGACATGACTTAGTCATTGTATAGTAAATCACACAAATTTAAAATTTATAAAACTAGAAAATACAAATTTTTAGATATTTAGAAGTATTTATAAACAAATATATCAATTATAATTCAATAAAACTTCCAAAAATAGTGGTAATTTTCTAGATCTATCATAGGGATGTAATATAATATTGAGTAATTATTCAGAATTTTCCTCAAATAATACTATTTTCTATAAATTATATACTAGGAAATAAAAAGAAAATATATTTAAAATTCACGAAAAAGGGAAATAAGGGTGCGGACGTCAAGATAATGTTAGCGCCTAGCAAACGCGAATCGGGTGGAAACAAAGTTCTGCCCAGCGATTCCTACATAAGTGATTACAGATGATTTAATTGATCAAATTAAGGTCTGTAAAAGCCGGAAGAGTCGTAATGGAATGAAGTATATATTGGTAAATTTAAATCACACAAATTATCACTAAATGAAGCGAAAAGTAAGTTGAAAGTAGGAAAATAGAGTTCCAACATCGCGACGGCGATGCACTGGAAGCCTAAGCATTCAGGAGGATTGTCATGTAGTGTCTATGGCCTCAAAGGCTCTTCTTGGACAAGGATGACGTGGGTAATCTCTAGATCTCCTTGCGAAGTTTAGAGATCAATGAAATGGGTCGTCAAATCGTCTCTAGCGGCTGTCACCTGGTGGAGTGGAAAAATGACGACTTTGCGGCTCTCTGGTAGCTGTCACCCGACGAAGAAGAGCTGAATGGAGGTGGGGCGTGTGTCAGGGAGCTTCATCTTCAGGTCCACACAGTAAGAGGAGGCTCTTCATTGCATCCGGAACGCTCTCTGGAGGTGGCGACTCGTCTTCCGGTGGATCGTCTTTTTCCTGACGACGGCTTGTTCGTCGATTAATCGGAGATGCTTTACTCGATGGATTCACGATCCTTTTATCGCGAATCATTTAGCAATTTTAGTAACAATGCTCCACGAATCGCATTGATGAGATTTTCACCGATGATCTAGCGATTTTAGTTGCTTAATCCTTCACCGGTGATCAACAGGAAAGTTGCGATAATCAGATAAAAAATATGAGTTTTGGCTTTGGAAGAATTCGAACCTGCACTAGTTGCCCACCTACATGAGAGAGATGGACATAAGTACTTTAATGCCCTTATCTAATGATGTCATCATGGTATATCTCTTTTATAAATAAGGGGTATTTTAAGTATTCAAATCATCGAACCCTTTCTAGGGAAGGTGTGATGCGGGTTTAGTCACACATCGCTTGTGCGCTGAAGTTTCGGGCAAATATATAATAATATTACATTTACAAGCAAGTTCCTTTCTTGCGTATGTACGACCACTCCTTGCCCCACAACCGGCTTGCCACTAGTGACGTGAAAGGGGAGTGGCGTACACGTGCCCCTATCGATCCTAGCCGCTCAAGCCCTTGCTCACGGCTACTCCTCGACTGCACTTCCAATCCACTTGTGGGCCCGGCTGGCCGGGCAAGTCCGCCTCATTTTCTTATATTTTTATTTTTATTTCTTTTTCTTCATTTATCTCAAAAGTAAGACTGTAAAAATCATATAAATTCATATAAAATTACATAATTACCCAAAAATTCATGTTAACCAACTGAAAACCACTTTTCATATTTTAACATAAATATAAGTCTATTTATAATGAGTTAAGGCTAAAACTATATTATTTAGTAATTATTAACTCATGATAATGAAGACTTATCACACCCCCCAACTTAAATCATTGCTAGTCCCTTAGCACTGGAATTATGAAAATAAAAATTTACAAATCTCAAACAACATATTTTAATACAAAATAAAAAAGACTATTAGAAATAATTCACCTTTAGACACTTTAGATTCTTATATCAAGTACTTATCAATCATCCTACCATTCACACCTTTATTTTCCTTTTTTGTGAATTTTAAATTTATTTCATTTTCATTTCCTGGTATACAATTCATAGAAAATCGTATTCTTTGAGGAAAATTATAAATAATTACCTGATATTATATTACATCCCTATGATCGACTTGGAAAATTACAACTATTTTGGAAGTTTAATTGAATTATAATTGATATATTTGTTCAGAACTACTTCTAAATATCTAAAAAATTGTATTTTCTAGTTTTATAAATTTTAAATTTGCATGATTTACTATACAACAACTAAGTCACATCAATTTTTGACGCTGTTGCTAAGGATGTATTACATAATATTTAGTATTTTTCTATTTTTCTCTTAGAGTACACAAAAAAATTTAGCTCTTGTTTTATTTTCTTCTTGCTGATTTTTTTTTTTGGAAGTAATACGAATTTTTGGATATTTAAAAGTATTTATGAACAAATATATCAATTATCATTCAATAAAACTTCCAAAAATAGCGATAATTTTCCAATTCGATCAAGGGATATAATATAATATCTGGTAATTATTTAGAATTTTCTTCAATGAATACTATTTTCTATGAATTTAATACTAGGAAATAAAAAGAAAATATATTTAAAATTCACGAAAAAAGTAAATAAGGGTGCAGACGTCAAGATGATGTCAGCGGCCGGCAAATGCGAATCGAGTAGAAATAGAGTTCTGCCCAACGATTCTTACGTAAGCGATTGCAGACGATTTAATTGAACAAATTAAGATCTACAAAAGCCTGAAGAATCGTAATTGAATGAAGTATATCTTGGTAAATTGAAATCAGACAAATTATCACTAAATAAAGTAGAAATTAAGTTGAAAGTAGGAAAACAGAGTTCTAGTGTTGCGACAGCGATGCATCGGCGATGCACCGGAATCCTGAGCGTTCGGGAGGATCGTCATGTAGTGTCCACAACCTCGAAGGCTCTCTTTGGAGAAGGACGACGTAGGCAATCTCTAGATCTTCTTGCGAAGTCTAGAGATCAATGAAATGGGTTGTCAAATCATTTCTAGCGGCTGTCACCTGGTGGAGCAGAAAAACGGCGACTTTGTGGCTCTCCGACGGTTGTCACCTAACGGAGAGGAGCTGGATGGAGGTGGGGCGCATATCATGGAGCTTCATCCTCAGGTCCGTGCAGCAAGAGGAGGCTCTTCATTGCATTCGGTACGCTCTTAGGAGGTGGCGACTTGTCTCCCGGTAGATCATCCTCTTCCCGACGACGGCTTATTCGTCGATCAATCATAGATGCTTTATTAGATGGATTCACGATCCTTTTATCACGAATCGTTCAACAATTTTAGTAACAATGCTCCACGAATCACGTTGACAAGATTTTCTCCGATGATCCAGCGATTCTAATTGCTTAATCCTTCACCGGCAATCTATAGGAAAGTCGCGATAATCAGATAAAAAAATATGAGTTTTGGCTCTAGGAGGATTCAAACCCGCGCTAGTTGCCGCGCCCTTTCTAGGGAAGGTGTGATGCAGGTTTAGTCTCACATCGGTTGTACATCGACGTTTCTGGCGAATATATAGTAATATTACATTTCCGATCAAGTCCCTTTCTCACGCGTGTATGACCACTCCTTGCCCCACAACCGGCTGGCCACTGGTGACATGGAAGGGGGGTGGTGCACACGTGCCCCATCGGTCCAAGCCGCTCGAGCCCCTGCTCGTGGCTACTCCCTGACTATGCTTCTAACCCACTTGTGGGCCCGGCTGGCCAGCGGTCCCCCTCATTTTGTTTTATTTTTATTTTTATTTCTTTTTCTTCATTTATCTCAAAAGTAAGACTGTAAAAATCAAATAAATTTGTATAAAATCACATAATTACCTAAAAATTCAGGTTAATCAATTGAAAACCACTTTTCACACTTTAACATAAATATAAGTCTATTTATCATGAGTTAAGGCTAAAACTATATTATTTACTAATTATTAACTCATGATAATGAAGACTTATCAAGTAACAATTATTAAAAAAATTCTTCGAATTTATTGAATTTTTTTTATGCATGGTAGAAGATCCTTGCATTCAAGGCTAGAAAATTCTTTCATTATTTCATTCAAAACTAAAAATCTAGAAGGAAAAAAAAAATTAGATCTTGAAGTAAGTACAGGTCAAACTAAGAACAATCCTATGGTCATGAAAAATCATTATATCTCTGACTCATTTCAAAGAGCATCCAATAGTAGAGTCTCATTAGAACCCACTATTAAATTTGAAATAAATCTAGGAATTTTTCAAATGCTCCCTAATTTTCATAGATTGTCTTTAGAGGAACCTCATCAGCACTTAGAAAAAATTCATATGGTCTATGATTTAGTTAATCTCCCTCAAGTTACACTGGAAATTATTAAGATGAAATTATTTCCTCATATACTTAGGGACAAAGCTAGTCATTGGCTATCCACGTTAGATAGAGAATTAACTAGTTGGAAAGACATAGAACAGGCCTTTCTTCGAAAAATTTATCTCTTAGGAAAAACTCAAAATATGAGAAAACATATATAGAGTTTTTCTCAAAGACCAAGAGAAACTTTACATGAGACATGGGAAAAATTCAAAGATTTACTTAGAAAGTGTCCTCATCATGTTATACCCAAGTGGCAGCTTAATAGAATTTTTTATGATGGATTATTAGAACAACATAGAAATATGGTTGATTCTATATGTGAAGGAGCTTTTATAGAGAAAACCTCTGATGAGATTTACAGTCTTTATGAGAATTTAAGTGAAAATTCTAAAGATCAAGTCTCTTTTAAATTATATGATAGGGATAAGAAGAGAGGAATTTATGAATTGCATCATGATGATGACTCTAAGTTAAGAAATGAGGTTAATCAAATTAATCAAAGATTAGAAAAACTTGGTTTACTTATTGAGAATATTAGAAAGCCTCCTAACCTTCAATTGAATGCATATAGTGCTTATCCTATGTATGGTTAAAATGATCATTTCGAATTTCAATATTATAATTTAGATCAACCATTTCATCCTAGGCAAGAACAAGTGCAGGTACCCCACGATTTTAGTAAAAATAGGAAATAGTTTTCTAATGCTTATAATCCTAATTAGGAGAATAATTTTTCGTGGAGAAACCCAAATAATATTCAAAATCTAGAAGCACTTAGATCCAATTCAAATTTTCAATTTCATCCAAAATAGGAACACAGATTTCAGAAAAATTAGCCTTCTCAAATCCAACTTGATGCTATAGAAATGATGCAGCAAATGAGCCAAATGATGCAACAAACTATGAATCAAATGATGTTGCACCAAAAACAAATTATAGAGGCTTTTGAGAATAGGAGAGAAGAGGGACAACCACTTAGTCAGCCCATAGAAAATTTAAGAAACTGTCCAACAATAGGATTTCAACAAGGAGAGTCTAGTTGGATAAATTTAGGAAAAAACCCACGAAATGAAAATATTAGGACAGTGAATAAATTGAGTGAGAATATTTTACCTGATCTTTATTTCCAATTATTAGAAGAAATCGATGAGCCATTAGAAGTAAATGAGAATATTAAGGCTGAAAATATAGTAGTAGAAAACTTGAATAAAATCATTTATTACTCACAATTGATGAATGAATATAGTGAGGATGATGAGGAGAAAGAGCCTTTAGATGAAGAAACAACAACTGATCATGGAAGAATCATCTAAATTTTAGAAATTAATAAATCTAATCATAATTTTGTAGCCATGGATGTTGATAGTGAGGATGATGATGTATATCATATACCGAAATTAGAAGATAGCTCTTGAGAAGATGAAGAATTTGATGAATTGAGAAACGAAAAACTAGAAAAAGAGTTGATTCAACTAATGAAGAGAAACAAAAATAATGGATATGAATATAGAGATAATTTTGGAGGACAAAATTTGAATTTTACTGAATTCATTAGGTCTGAGATTAAAGAAGATAATCCTTTCATCCTTCAAAACCCACAGCCCATTAAAATTACTTCTAAGCTTGAAATATTTCATTCCTCGCAAATTGAATAAATATGTATGGAAGATAAAATGAAACAAGGGAAGATTATGCAGATAAAAGAACACATTATGAAATAGGTGAATGGAAGAATTAGAGATATCAATTTAGATGAAAAAATTCTAGATTGGGTAAGATCTAATTTGAAAATATATGGCTTGAACACATTTTATGGTCTATTAATAGAAAGTATTTATTAATGAATGAGAGCCATACAAAACAAGATAGAAATGAGGAAAGATTCTTTCCAAAATGGAAATATTATTTTTAGGAAAATTTTGTTAATTTTCATTTTGTTTTGGCTGAAAGTATGTCAAGGTATATATATAAAGTATATGAATTTATGCTAAATCTGAAAAAGAATATCATGAAACTTACCTTGGGATACAAATATATTTTGATGGCCATAGATCATCTTATATGATCTAAGAGCTGTCCAGCTGAAGATATTAAATTCAGCATTGCATGGCAGGCAACCCATGGTTTTTATTTCATTCTGTTTGATTTTTTTTTAAGCTCTATTTTTCTTAGAATTTTACATTACTTGTTTCTGTATTTTTTTTTCGAAAAAGTGCAGGAGGAGGAGTGTAAGATGAAGTGAAAAATTAAAAACAAGGTTGAGGTGGTCTTTCTGAGCTTTATCATTTATGACAACATTTTTAATGCTTAACTTTACAATATGCATGCTTCACTTGAAAATTATATTTTCTGCATATTCTATTTCGATTTTTCTGTGTCATTGAGGACAATGTCATTTTTAAGTTGGGGGTTGAATTATTAATTATTAATTTATGCTGTAGGACGATTAAGAACATGTGTTTGCATTTTTTTTTCATGCTCACTTAGAACAGCAGCTAAAAAAATAAAAATAAAATAAAATTTGAAAAAACTACAACATCTATTTTCTGGTTTTCTATCAGGAACAACAGACTGTTAAAAACAACAGACAAAAAACAACCCAAAGTTTGAAATTCTAGAGATCCTTTTCTCACATTTCAATCCCCTAGACATATATTACTAAAATTCGAAATTACAGTCCCTTTCTCCCGCGTGTATGACCACTCTTTGCCTTATAGCCGGCTGGCCACCAGTGATGTGGAAGGGGAGTGGCACACATGTGCCCCCATCAATCCTAGCCGCTTGAGCCCCTGCTCATGGCTCCTCTCTGACTGCACTTCCGACCTACTTGCGGGCCCAGCTAGCCGACGGGTCCCCCCCCCATTTTGCTATATTTTTATTTTTATTTTGTTTTCTTCATTTATCTCAAAAATAAGACTATAAAAATCATATCTATTTGTAGAAAATCACATAATTAGCCAAAAATTCACGTTAATCAACTGAAAACTACTTTTCACACTTTAACACAAATATAAGTCTATTTATCATGAGTTAAGACTAAAACTATATTATTTACTAATTATTAACTCATGATAATGAAGACTTATCACCCACTAACTATTAGAAATAGGGTAAATAATATCAGCATCTAACCATTTAATGATTTCTTTCTTTACCACTTCTTTCATGTTTGGGTTCTGCCTATGTTATATTTCCCTTGATGATTTCAAATTATCTTTAGTATATATTCTATGCTTGCAAATTGATGGGCTGATCCCCTTGAGATCAACCATCGTCTACTCTATTGCTTTCTTATGTTCTTGTAAAACCTCTAATGCTTTCTTTTCCTATTCAATAGTCAATAAGGTAGAGATAATCATAGGTAAGGTTTGGTTTGGTCCAAGAAAAATATATTTCAATAAATAAGGAAGAGGTTTTAATTCTAAACTTGAGGGATTCTCTAAAGATGATTCTATAAATATTATGTCATGATCTAATGCCTCTTTCTTACAATATTTTTTATCTAATGCATGAATATGAAATGGAAGAATTAATTGATCAACTTGCTGAACATAATTCATTTCTTCTATGCATGAATCAATCACATCAATATCTTCATAATTGTCATTATCTTCATGTGAAAATCTTGAACTTTTAAAAATTGTTAAAGAGATGTTTTGACCTTCAGATTTCATATTTATAATCTCATTTTTCGCAATCAATACATACTTTGGCTGTGGCAAGAAATGGGCATCCTAATATGATTGGTGCATGAGAAAGATTATCTAAAATAGGAATATCTAAAATCAAAAAATCCACTGGAAATCTACATCCTATAACATGCATAATGACATCTTCTAGGAGACCCCTAGGTGTTTTAATAGATCTATCTACTAGCTGAAGTTCTATTAAAGTTGGTTTTAGTTCTCCTAATTTGAAATTTTTGAAAACAACCAAAGGTAATAAATTAACACTTGCTCCCAAATCTAAGAGCACAATTTCTAAATGTAGTTTCACCCACTTTACATGAGATAAGAGGTGCTCTTAAATCCTTACATTTCCTAGGCAAAGAATGAAAAATAATGACACTACCCTTTTCGGATAAAGATATCTTCTGAGGTGACCTATGAGGTGTGCATAAGTCATTTAAAATTTTTGTATATGCAGGTGTATGTTTGATTGCATCTATCAAAAGAATGGAGATCTGAACTTGTTTAAATATTTTTATAAGCTTTTCATTAGGTTCAGCTCTTTTCCTAAGTTTTTGTTCTAATGCCTTAGGAAAGGGGACTGTTTTTCCAAGTTCATCTTGCTATGATAAAATAGGAACGGGTGGTACTTCTATTTTTTCTTTTGATTCTTTTTTTTCTTCCTCTAAATTCTCATCATTAGAAAATAAACTATCATGTTCATTATCCTCATCATTCAGCACTTCATCATCATGAACTTGTTTGTTTAAAAAATCTGGTGTATATAAATCTTTGAGTTACTTTTTACTCCTCAAAGTGGTCACCGGTTTTACATTTTCAAAACCTTGAGATGTAGATGATTCATGGCTATTAGAAGGTTGATTTCATGAGTTCATGATGAGTTGACTAGGAAGATGACCTGTTTCATGTTTTGAGTGGGCCAAGGCTAGTTTACCTCTCTCTTTTTCTAGCCCAAGGGTTGTTTACTGATTTTCTTGCCTAATTTGCTCCATCATCTTTATCATAGATGTATTTGTTTCCTGTAGTTGCTGCATCATCTGTCCCATAAACTATTGTATCGAATTTGAATTCATTTCAGATTGATTTTGATATGAATTAGGATATTGTGGGCTGAAATTAGGGACTGAACTTGAAGAAGGGATGAAATTTTGGGCTGGTGGCTGATGAGTACCTAGTGTGCGCTTGTTGTTGTGTTTAAATGTACACTATCTAATAATATTTATAATTAAGACTTAATAAAATATTAGTATAGAAGTAAGTCTTAAGTTGAACATAGGGAGATTGATTAATTCGTCATGAAAACTAATTTAGTTTATATATAAAGTAATTTTAATTAATATTTAATAGAAATAATAAAATAAAATGGTGAGGTGAGAAGAATAAAGGAAGAAAAGTGTAGAAAAGGAAGGAGGAAAAGAGAGAAAGAGAGAACTCTCACAAGAGAGAGAAGGGATGAGATCTCTCGAGAAAGGGAGAGAAAGAGAGAGGAGGAGAGGAAGCTTTCACGAGAGAGAGAAGGGATGAGATCTTGTGCAAATGGGAGAGAAAGAGAGAGGAGGAGAGGAAGCTTTCACGAGAGAGAGAAGGGATGAGATCTTGTGCAAATGGGAGAGAAAGAAAGAAAGCTCTCACAAGAGAGAGAAGGGATGATATCTTTCGCAAAAGGGAGAGAAAGAGAAAAGACGAGAATGAAGAAAGAGAGAAATACAATCAACCCATTTTCTTGGACGAATGTGTGCTCGAGGATTCACACACATGACATGAGGTCAACCGTGAATGACTCAAGTTGAAAATAATTTTAGCTTGATCTCAGACGAGTTTCAGAGGATTCAGAAGAAGAACGAAGATCATTCATCAAGTTTTAAAGTAGTTCTACTCATTTCAATTGAAACTTGCATGAAATGGAAAGAACTTGCTGTAAAATATAAATAAATGAAAAAAGAGGGTAAGTAAATACTGAAAAGAGAAAATAAATCATTGCCTAAGTTTAGTCTACCTCTTGGGCAACTAGAGACATTAGTGTGGTGTCTTGGTTTCGTCCGAACATGCCACACCACACTGAAAGTTGCAAAAGTATCATCTAAAAGTGCTGCGCTTCTTGCTAGAGATATCCGTCAAAAGAGGGGTCGACAACGCTGTCACCGTCATCTAGGGGTGATAAGTCTTCATTATCATGAGTTAATAATTAGTAAATAATATAGTTTTAGCCTTAACTCGTGATAAATAGACTTATATTTGTGTTAAAGTGTGAAAAGTTGTTTTCAGTTGATTAATGTGATTTTTGGGTAATTATTTGATTTTATACGAATTTATATGATTTTTACAATCTTACTTTTGAGATAAATGAAGAAAAAGAAATAAAACTAAAATATTGCAAAATGGGGAGGACCCGCCGGCCAGCCGGGCCCACAAGCGGGTCGGAAGCTTAGTTAGGGAGTAGCCACGAGCAGGGGCTCGAGCGACTTGGACCGATAGGGGCAAGGAGTGGTCGTACACGCGAGAGAAGGGACTTTGCTTAAAAAGCTAACATTACTATATATTCGCCTAAAAAATCGGTACACAACCGATGTGGGACTAAACCCGCGTCACACCTTCCTCAGAAGGGGGCGGACAACCGGCGCGGGTTCAAATCCTCCCAGAGTCAAAATTCATATATTTTTATCTGATTATCACGACTTTCTTGCAGATCACCGGTGAAGGATTAAGCAATCAGAATCGTTGGATCATTAGCGAAAATCTCGTCAACGCGATTCGTAGAGCATTGCTACTAAAATTGTTGAACGATTCGCGATAAAAGGATTGCGAATCCATCGAGTAAATCATCTCCGATTGATCGATGAACAAGCCGTCGTCGGGAAGAGGACGATCCGCCGAGAGACGAGTCGCCACCTCCTGAGAGCGTACCAGATGCGATGAAGAGCCTCCTCTTGCTGCACGGACCTGAGGATGAAGCTCCCTGACACGCGCCTCACCTCCATCCAGCTCCTCTCCGTCGGGTGACAACCGTCGAAGAGCCACAAAGTCGCCGTTTTTCCGCTCCGCCGGGTGACAGCTGCAGGAGATGACTCGGCGACCCATTTCATTAATTTCTAGACTTCGTGAGAAGATCTAGAGATTGCCCATGTCGTCTTTGCCCAAGGAGAGCCTTCGAGGCCGTGGACACTGCACGACGATCCTCCTGAATGCTCAGGATTCTGGTGCATCGCCGACGCATCGTCGTCGCAACGCCGGAACTCTATTTTCCTGCTTTCAAACTTACTTTACGCTTCATTTAGTGATAGTTTTTGTGAATTTAATTTACCAAAATATACTTTGTTCTATTATGATTCTTCTAGCTTTTACAGATCTTAATTTGATTAACTAAATCGTCTGTAATCGCTTTCGTAAGAATCGCCGGGCGGAACTCTGTTTCTGCCCGATTCGCGTTCGTCGGGCGCTGACGTCATCTTGACGTCCGCACCCTTATTTCCTTCTTTTTCGTAAATTTTAAATATATTTCTTTTTCATTTCCTAGTATAAAATTCATAGAAATTCGTATTCATTGAGAAAAATTCTGAATAATTACCAGATATTATATTACATCCCTATGATCGACCTGGAAAATTACCGCTATTTTTGAAAGTTTTATTGAATTATAATTGATATATTTATTTAGAAATACTTCTAAATATCCGAAAATTCGTATTTTCTAGTTTTATAAATTTTAGATTTACGTGATTTAATATACAACGACTGAGTCACGTCAAGGGGGAGAAAGGAAGAGCTGACCACTCACTAGAGGCCTTGAGTGAAGTCGGGAAAGGAAGGAAGAAGCTTGTCAATCATTGAAGACGTCGATCATGCAAAAGGAGGGAAGAACGGATTTCGTATTCATGACTGCCGTTGGGATTTTAAAGATAATCAATAATGTCTATTTTACTAGATAAAAATTGATTATTGTCTTTATATCCTTAATAGTGATACATGTGAAGACTTAAGTTCCTAGTATCGTGGTGCTTCAGAAGCCGCTGGATTAGATGAGCTTGGTATGTGGCGTGCTGAGCAATGCAAGATCAACCCGCTACGAACTGCTGCCGATTGGGAACTTAAATTCTTAGTACCATGGCGCCTCCATAGCCGTTGGATCATCTTTTAAGGCCACATGCATGTTGAGCGCTGTTGGATTTACAAACTATTGATAGATCGCTTTACACATCTAGTATCATGGTGGTTCACCGACGTGACTTAGTCGTTGTATAGTAAGTCACACAAATTTAAAATTTATAAAACTAAAAAAATATGAATTTTTAGATATTTAAAAGTATTTCTGAAAAAATATATCAATTATAATTCAATAAAACTTCCAAAAATAGTGGTAATTTTCCAAGTTGATCACAGGGATGTAATATAATACTCGGTAATTATTCAGAATTTTCCTCAAAGAATACTATTTTCTACAAATTTTATACTAAGAAATGAAAAGGAAATATATTTAAAATTAACAAAAAAGTGAAATAAGGGTGTGGACGTCATGATGACGTTAGTGCCTGGCGAACGCGAGTCGAGCGAAAATAGAGTTCCACCCGGCGATTCTTATGTAAGCAATTACAAACAATTTAATTGATCAAATTAAGATCTATAAAAGTCGGAAGAATCGTAATTGAATGAAGTATATCTTGGTAAATTTAAATCACACAAATTATCACTAAATGAAGCAAAAAGTAAGTTGAAAGTAAGAAAACAAAGTTCCGGCGTCACGGCGGCGATGCATCGGAATCCTGAGCATTCGGGAGGATAGTCATGCAGTGTTCACAGCCTCAAAGGCTCTCTTTGGAGAAGGACGACGTAGGCAATCTCTAGATCTTCTTGCGAAGTCTAGAGATCAATGAAATGGGTTGTCAAATCATCTCCGGCGGCTGTCACTTGGCAGAGCGAAAAAACGGTGACTTTGCGGCTCTCTAGTGGCTGTCACCCGACGGAGAGGAGCTAGATGGGGGTGGGGCGCGTGTCACGGAGCTTCATCCTCAAGTCCGTGCAGTAAGAGGAGGCTCTTCATCGCATCCGGTATGCTCTCAAGAGGCGGTGACTCATCTCTTGGCGGATCGTCCTCTTCCCAACGACGGCTTGTTCGTCGATCAATCGGAGATGCTTTACCCGATGGATTCGCGATCCTTTTACCACGAATCGTTCAGCAATTTTAGTAACAATGCTCCGCGAATCACGTTGACAAGATTTTCGCCAATGATCCAGCGATTCTGGTTGCTTAATCCTTCATCGGCGATCTGTAGGAAAGTCGCGATAATCAGATAAAAAATATGAGTTTTGGCTTTGGGAGGATTCGAACCCATGCCGGTTGCCCACCCTTTTTGGGGAAGGTGACGCGGGTTTAGTCCCACATTGCTTGTGCGCCAGATTTTCTAGCGAATATATAGTAATGTTACATTCAAAAGCAAGTCCCTTTCTCGCGCATGTACGACCACTCCTTGCCCCATAGCCGACTGGCCACCGGTGATGTGGAAGGGGGGTGGTGCACACGTGCCCCTATCGGTCCAAGCCACTCGAGCCCTTGCTCACGACTACTTCCCGACTACACTTCCGGGCCTGGCTGACTAGTGGATCCCCCCCATTTTGTTTTATTTCTTTTTCTTCATTTATCTCAAAAGTAAGATTGTAAAAATCCTATAAATTTGAATAAAATCATATAATTACCCAAAAATTCACGTTAATCAACTAAAAACCACTTTTCATACTTTAACACAAATATAAGTCTATTTATCATGAGTTAAGGCTAAAACTATATTATTTACTAATTATTAACTTATGATAATGAAGACTTATCACACCCCCCAACTTAAATCATTGGTAGTCCCTTAGCAATGAAATTACGAAAATAAAAATTTATAAATCTCAAACATCATATTTCAATACAGAAAAAAATACAATTAGAAATAATGCACCTTTAGACACTTTGGATCCTTATATCAAGTATTTAAGAATGATGTCAAGCACTTAAATATTTAAGCACTCCTTGGAATAACAATCTAGACTTCACTTTTTCTATTCACATCTTTATCACTTCTTCACTCATAGATATATTTACAAGATGTTTCAATTATCAATACTCATCCAAGAATAATATTGATCCTACATTTCCTTTTTTCCATGGCTTGATTTTTGAAGTTCACACTATATTTCTTCCTTCTTTTTTCTATTTTTATATATAGTGGATAAGTAGCTTTTCCTGTAGACAAATTTTGACAATAAGAATAATGTCTCACACCCTCCATGATGTGTACTCTTCATTTTCAGGGCTTTCACTCTATCCACTTATTTTGCAGCAAGTGTTTTTCTATGCACGATTTTCGACAATGAGAATGATGTCTCACACCCTCTATGTGTACTCTTCGTTTCTAGATTTTTCACATTGCTCTCTCTCTTTTTTTTTTGAAATAAGTGATTTCTCCTCACAAGTCCTATAGATTAGGGTGCAAAAATCTCCATTAAACTCAAATGATCAATCAAATTTTCACATCAAGTAAATACTATCCATCAAGATCATGAAGTGAAAATCTATAAAATCAAATTCATGTTATCTGTCATGTATCCAAGGAGTATTCCAACACTTCATGCTACTAGATCATTCTTTTGACTCAATAATAATCTTCCTTGTATCTTTTGGTATCAATCAATCTAATTGATTTGATTTTTCATGCATGCAATATGATGTAAGAAATTTGTAAATTAGATAGTTCTGACAGTTCTATTTTCTGTTTTCAGTTCTATTTTTAGCAATAATAAATTTGTCAAAAATAAATCAAAACTATCCTCTTTATAGCTGTAATTTCGAATTTTAGTAATATATGTCTAGGGCATTGAAATGTGAGAAAAGGTTCTCTAGAATTTCAAATTTCCGGCTATTTTTTGTCTGCTATTTTTGACAGTCTGTTGTTCCTAACAGAAAACCAGAAAATAGATGTTGCAGTTTTTTTGAATTTTATTTTATTTTTATTTTTTTAGTTGCTGTTCTAAGTGAGCATGAAAAAAAAATGCAAACACATGTTCTTAATCGTCCTACAGCATAAATTAATAATTAATACTTCACCCCCCAACTTAAAAAATGACATTGTCCTCAATGACATAGAAAAATCGAAATAGAATATGTAGAAAATATAATTTTCAAGTGAAGCATGCATATGTGCAAAGTTAAGCATTAAAAATATTGTCATAAATGATAAAGCTCAGAAAGACATCACCTCAACCTCGTTTTTAATTTTCCACTTTATCTTATAGATATGTAGAAACAAGTACTGCGAAATTCTAAGAAAAACAAAGCTTAAAAAAAATCGAATAGAATGAAATAAAAACCATGGGTTGCCTCTCATGTAGCGCTGAATTTAACGTCTTCAGCTGGACAGCTCTTAGATCATATAAGATGATCTATGGCCATCAAAATATATTTGTATCCCAAGGTAAGTTTCATGATATTCTTTTTCAGATTTAGCATAAATTCATATACTTCATATATATACCTTGACATACTTTCACCCAAAACAAAATGGAAATTAACAAAATTTTCCCAAAAATAATATTTCCATTTTGAAAAGAATCTTTCCTCATTTCTATCTTGTTTTGTAAGGCTCTCATTCATTAATAAATACTTTCTATTAATAGACCATAAAATGTGATCAAGCCATATAATTTTCATATTAGCTCTTACCCAATCTAGAATTTTTTCATCTAAATTGATATCTCTAATTCTTCCATTCACCCATTTCTTAATGTGTTCTTTTATCTGCATAATCTTTCCCTGCTCCATTTTATCTTCCATACATATTTATTCAATTTGCGAGTGAAATATTTCAAGCTTAGAAATAATTCTAATGGGCTGTGGGTTTTGAAGGATGGAAGGATTCTCTTCTTTAATTTCAGACCTAATGAATTCAGTAAAATTCAAATTTTGTCTTGCAAAATTATCTCTATATTCATATTCATTATTTTTGTTTCTCCCCATTAGTTGAATCAACTCTTTTTCTAGCTTTTCGTTTCTCAACTCATCAAATTCTTCATCTTCCCAAGAGCTATCTTCTAATTTTGGTATATGATATACATCATCATCCTCACTATTAACATCCATGGCTACAAAATTATGATTAGATTTATTAATTTCGTCTCCTACATCTCCCAAATCAATTGATTTTTCCTCACCTTAAATATATTTTTCTTCATTTCTGTCTTTACTCCTTTCTACTAAAATTTGGATGATTCTTCCATGATCAGCTGTTGTTTCTTCATCTAAGAGCTCTTTCCCCTCATCATCCTCACTATATTCATTCATCAATTGTGAGCAATAAAGGATTTTATTCAAATTTTCTACTACTATATTTTCGGCCTTAATATTCTCATTTACTTCTAATGGCTCATCAATTTCTTCTAATAATTGGAAATAAGGATTAGGTAAAATATTCTCACTCAATGTATTCACTGTCCTAATATTTTCATTTCGTAAGTTTTTTTCTAAATTTATCCAGCTAGACTCTCCTTACTGAAACCCTACTATTAAACAGTTTTCTGAATTTTCTATGGGCTGACTAGGTGGCTGTCCCTCTTCTCTCCTATTCTCAAAAACCTCTATAATTTGTTTTTGGTGCAACACCATTTGTTTCGTAGTTTGTTGCATCATTTAGCTCATTTGTTGTATCATTTCCATAACATTAGGTTGGATTTGAGAGGGCTGATTTTTCTAAAATTTGTGTTCCTATTTTGGATGAAATTGAAAATTTGAATTAGTTCTAAGTGCTTCTAAATTTTGAATATTATTCGGGTTTCTCCACAAAAAATTATTCTCCCAATTAGGATTATAAGAATTAGAAAAATATTCTCTATTTTTACTAAAATTGTGGGGTACTGACGTGACTCAGTCTTTGTATATTAAATCACGCAAATATAAAATTTATAAAACTAGAAAATACGAATTTTCAGATATTTAGAAGTATTTCTAAATAAATATAGCAATTATAATTCAATAAAACTTCCAAAAATAGCGGTAATTTTCTAGGTTGATCACAGGGATGTAATATATCTGGTAATTATTCAGAATTTTTCTCAATGAATATGATTTTCTATGAATTTTATACTAGGAAATAAAAAGGAAATATATTTAAAATTCACGAAAAAGGGAAATAAGGGCGCGGGCGTCAGGATGACGTCAGCGGAATCAGACGGAAACAGAGTTCCGCCCAACGATTCTTACGTAAGCGATTACAGACGGTTTAATTAATCAAATTAAGAGTTGTAAAAGCCGGAAGAATCGTAATAGAACAAAGTATATTTTGGTAAATTAAAATCACAAAGAAATATCACTAAATGAAGTGTAAAGTAAGTTTAAAGCAGGAAAACAGAGTTCCGGCGTCGCGACGGCGATGCGTCGGCAATGCACCGGAATCTTGAGCATTCGGGAGGATCGTTGTGCAGTGTCCACGGCCTCGAAGGCTCTCCTTGGACAAAGACGACGTGGGCAATCTCTAGATCTTCTCGCGAAGTCTAGAGATCAATGAAATGGGTCGCTGAGTCGTCTCTGGCGGCTGTCACCCGGCGGAGCAGAAAAACGGCGACTTTGCGGCTCTCCGGCGGCTGTCACCCAACGGAGAGGAGCTGGATGGAGGTGGGGCGCGCGTCAGGGAGCTTCATCCTCAGGTCCGCGCAGCAAGAGGAGGCTCTTCATCGCATCCGGTACGCTCTCAAGAGGTGGCGACTCATCTCCCGGCGGATCATCCTCTTCCCGACGACGGCTTGTTCGTCGATCAATCGGAGATGATTTACTCGATGGATTCGCGATCCTTTTATCGCGAATCGTTCAGCAATTTTATTAGCAATGCTCCGCGAATCGCGTTGACGAGATTTTCGTCGATGATCTAGCGATTCTGGTTGCTTAATCCTTCATCAGCGATCTGCAAGAAAGTCGCGATAATCAGATAAAAATATATGAATTTTGACTCTGGGAGGATTCGAACCCGCGCCGGTTGTCCGCCCCCTTCTGAGGAAGGTGTGACGCGGGTTTAGTCCCACATCGGTTATGTGCCAATTTTTCAGGCGAATATATAGTAATGTTAGCTTTCTAAGCAAAGTCCCTTCTCTCGCGTGTACGACCACTCCTTGCCCCACAGTCGGCTGGCCACCGGTGACGTGGAAGGGGAGTGGCGCACACGTGCCCCTATCGGTCCAAGCCGCTCGAGCCCTTGCTCGTGGCTACTCCTCGACTGAGCTTCCGACCCACTTGCGGGCCCGGCTGGCCGGCGGGTCCCCCCCTCATTTTGTCTTATTTTTATTTCTTTTTCTTCATTTATCTCAAAAGTAAGATTGTAAAAATCATATAAATTCGTATAAAATCAAATAATTACCCAAAAATCACATTAATCAACTGAAAACCACTTTTCACACTTTAACATAAATATAAGTCTATTTATCATGAGTTAAGGCTAAAACTATATTCTTTACTAATTATTAACTCATGATAATGATGACTTATCAGGTACCTACAATTGTTCTTGCCTAGGATGATATTGAAATTCAAAATAATCATTTTCACCATACATAGAACATGTACATAGAACAGTTGTTCTTGCCTAGGATGAATTAAATTGAGGATTAAGAGACTTTCTAATATTGTCAATAAGTAAATCAAGTTTTTCTAATCTTTGATTAATCTGATTAACCTCATTTCTAAATTTAGAATCATCATCATGATGTAATTCATAAATTCCTCTCTTCTTATCTCTGTCATATAATTGAAAAGAGGCTTGATCTCTAGAATTTCACATAAATTCTCATAAAGACTGTAAATCTCATTAGAAGTTTTCTCCATAAAAGCTCCTCCACATATAGAATCAATCATATTTCTATGTTATTCTAATAATTCATCATAAAAAAATTTCTTGAGCTGCCACTTGGGTATAGTATGATGAGGACACATTCTAAGTAAATCTTTGAATTTTTCTCATGTCTCATGCAAAGTTTCTCTCGGTCTTTGAGAAAAACTCCATATATATTTTCTCATATTTTGAGTTTTTCCTAAGGGATAATTTTTTTGAAGAAATGCATGTTCTATGTCTTTCCAACTAGTTAATTCTCTATCTAATGTGGATAGCCAATGACTAGCTTTGTCCCTAAGTGTATGAGGAAATAATTTCATCTTAAAAATTTCTAGTGTAACTTGAGGGAGATTAACTAAATCACAGACCGTATGAAATTTTTCTAACTACTGATGAGGTTCCTCTAAAGGCAATCCATGAAAATTAGGGAGCATTTGAAAAATTCTTGGATTTATTTCGAATTTAATAGTGTGTGCTAATGGGACTCTAATATTGGATGCTCTTTGAAATGAATCAAGGATATAATAATTTTTCATGGCCATAGGGTTGTTCTCAGTTTGACCTGTACTTCCTTCAAGATCCATCAAAATTAATTTTCCTTTCAGATTTTTAGTTTTGAATGAAATAATGAAAGGATTTTCTAGCCTTGGATGCAAGGATCTTCAACCATGCATAAAAAATCAATAAATTCGAGCAAAAAGTTTAGTAATTGTTACCCTCCTTCAACATGGTCCAATCCTTGCCTTGCTTCTCTTTGTTCCCTTTTTCTAAAAAAAAAAAAAATCAGCAAAAATAAAATTCAACAAGAGTTAAATAAAATAAGAAAAATACTAAATATTATGTAATACATCCCCGGCAATGATGCCAAAATTTGACATGACTTAGTTGTTGTATAATAAGTCACGTAAATTTAAAATTTACAAAACTAGAAAATACCAATTTTCAAATATTTAGAAGTATTTCTGAACAAATATATCAATTATAATTCAATCAAACTTCCAAAAAGCAGTAATTTTCCAAGTCGATCATAGGGATGTGAGAAGTCTTCATTATCATGAGTTATAATAATTAGTAAATAATATTTTTTTAGCCTTAACTCATGATAAATAGACTTATATTTGTGTTAAAGTGTGAAAAGTGATTTTCAGTTGATTAATGTGAATTTTTGTGTAGTTATGTGATTTTATACGAATTTGTATGATTTTTACAGTCTTACTTTTGAGATAAATGAAGAAAAAGAAATAAAAATAAAAATAAGACAAAATGAGGGGGACCCACCGGCCAGCCGGGCCCGCAAACGGGTCGAAAGCTCAGTTTGGGGAGTAGTTGTGAGCAGGGGCTCAAGCAGCTTAGACTGATAGGGGCACATGTGTGCCACCCCCCTTCCATGTCACCAGTGGCCAATTGACTGTGGGGCAAGGAGTGGTCGTACACGTGCGAGAAAGAGACTTAATCGGAAATGTAATATTACTATATATTCACCAAAAACTTCAGCACACAACCAATGTGGGAATAAACCCGCCTCACCTTCCTCAGAAAGGGTGGGGCAACTAGCGTAGGTTCGAATCCTTCTAGAGCCAAAACTCATATTTTTTATTTGATTATCGCGACTTTCCTATAGATCGCCGATGATTTAATATACAATGACTAAGTCACGTCGGGTTGTAATATAATATCGGGTAATTATTCAGATTTTTCCTCAAAGAATACTGTTTTCTATAAATTTTATACTAGGAAATGAAAAGGAAATATATTTAAAATTCACGAAAAAAGGAAATAAGGGTGTAGACGTCAAGATGATGTCAATGCCCGGTGAATGTGAATTGAGCAAAAATAGAGTTCCGCCCGACGATTCTTACGCAAGCGATTACAAACGATTTAATTGATCAAATTAAGATCTGTAAAAGCAAGAAGAATTGTAATTGAATGAAGTATATCTTGGTAAATTTAAATCACACAAATTATCACTAAATGAAGCGAAAAGTAAGTTGAAAGTAAGAAAACAAAGTTCCGGCATCGTGGCGGCGATGCACTAGAATCCTGAGCGTTCGGGAGGATCATCGTGCAGTGTCCAAGACCTCGAAGGCTCTCCTTAGACAAGGACGACGTGGGCAATCTCTAGATCTCCTTGCGAAGTCTAGAGATCAATGAAATGGGTCGTCAAATCGTCTTCGGCGGCTGTCACCTGGTAGAGCGGAAAAACGGCAACTTTGTGACTACTTTTATTACGAATCGTTCAACAATTTTAATAACAATGCTCCGTGAATCACATTGACAAGATTTTCGCCGATGATCTAGCAATTCTGGTTGCTTAATCCTTGACCGACGATATGTAGGAAAGTCACGATAATTAAATAAAAAATATGAGTTTTGACTTTGGGAGGATTCGAACCCGCACCAGTTGCCCACCCTTTCTGAGGAAGGTGTGACGCGGGTTTAGTCCCACATCGCTTGTGCGGCGAAGTGTCTAGTGGATATATAGTAATATTACATTTCTGATCAAGTTCCTTTCTCGCGCGTGTACAACCACTCCTTGCCCCACAGCCAGCTGGCCACCGGTGACGTGGAAGGGGGGTGGCGCACATGTGCCCCTATCAGTCCAAGCCACTCAAGCCCTTGCTCGTAGCTACTCCCCAATTGTGCTTCCGACCCGCTTGCTGGCCCGGCTGGCCAGCGGGTCCCCCCCATTTTTTATTTTTTTATTTTTTTATTTTTTATTTTTTATTTTTTATTTTTTTATTTTTTATTTTTTATTTTTTATTTTTTTATTTTTTTATTTTTTTTATTTTTTTATTTTTTATTTTTTTATTTTTTATTTTTTATTTTTTTATTTTTTTATTTTTTATTTTTTATTTTTTATTTTTTTATTTTTTTTATTTTTTATTTTTTATTTTTTATTTTTTTTTATTTTATTTTTTATTTCGTTTTCTTCATTTATCTCAAAAGTAAGACTATAAGAATCATATAAATTCGTATAAAATCACATAATTACCCAAAAATTCATGTTAATCAACTAAAAACCACTTTTCATATTTAACACAAATATAAGTCTATTTATCATGATTTAAGGCTAAAACTATATTATTTACTAATTATTAACTCATGATAATGAAGACTTATCACACCAACTATAGGATCTGGTTAATTTGATGACGTGGCTTTCTAAGTACCACTAGATCACACTACACTTCAAATGGTTGTGCAGAAATAGACAAAAACATTTAGTCCCACATCGAAAATATGTTGGACACATGCTGAATATAAACTAAAACTACGATCTCTCAACAGAGATTCGTTCTCCTAAAATAAAATAATGCCTAGGACCATCTTGAGAGAAGGCAATAAGGTGGTCTACCCTCACGTGCGCACGTGTGTATGGGTGCTCCTTGGCCCATGACTAGTTGGCCATTGAGACATAAAAGGGGAGCGACGCACACATGTGTGGAGCGAGGCCTTCACTACTCGAGCCCAGCTCGTGGCTCCCCGAATCTGGATCTACCCACTTGACTATTGTCCCCCCTCTAGGTCAGTTACCGAGTGTCGACTTGCCAACGGGCAAAAGATTTTTTATATAAATTTATTCTTTTTATTTTAATAATAAAAAATTACATTAAGTATTTTAACTTTAGACTTTTAAAATTAACAATATATCTTATATTTATTCTACAAGTTAACAAAATAAAATCAAATAATAAAACTAATTAAAACACATAAATCTACATAAATCTAGCTTTAACACTTGATGAACATGACTTGGGTAAAAATAGAGTTCCACCTGACGATTCTTACGTAAGTGATTACAAACGATTTAATTATTCAAATTAAGACCTATAAAAGTCAGAAGAATCATAATTGAATGAAGAATAGTTTGATAAATTGAAATCGTGTAAATTATCACTAAATAAAGTGAAAATAAAATTAAAAGTAAGAAAGGTAGAGTTTTAGCTTCGCGATAGCGATCGCTAGAATTCTGTGTTCAAGAGGGTCATCAAACTATGTCCACGGCCTCAAAGTTTCTCCTTGGACATGGATGATCTAGACATTAGCTGAATCTCCTTTCGGAGTCCAGAAAATGATGGTAGAAGTTAAATTAGTTAAAAAATAATAAAACAGAGTTCGGACGTCATGGCGGTGATGCATCGGTGATGCATCGTAATTTTGAGCGCTCAAACTTAAAAATGATATTGTCCTCAATGATAAAAAAAAATTAGAGTGGAATATGCAGAAAATATAATTTTCAAGTGAAGCATGTATGAATACAAAGTTGAGCATTGAAAATGTTATCATAAAGGATAAAGTTCAAAAAGACATCACCTCAACCTCATTTTTAATTTTCCACTTCATCTTACACTCCTGTACTTTTTTTTTGAAAAAAATAAAAAAAAATGTAGAAAAAAATACTACAAAATTTGAAGAAAGAAAGAACTTAAATAGGAAAACAAAATGAAATAAAAATCAGGGGTTGTCTCCCATGTAGTGCTGAATTTAATGTCTCTAGTTGGATGCATTCATCATACTCTTGAAAAAAATTTAATAATAAAATTTCTTTTCCTACAAGGCATTCATATTCTATACAATGTTTAAGCCACTATCCATTTTTCTTAAAGTTATGATCACTTTTAGAATACTTAATCATTACAACCCCATGATCATATGCCTTTTCTACCACATAAGGCCTTGTCCATTTTGATTTTAATTTTCTTGGAAATAATTTCAGCTTAGAATCATATAACCACACTTTTTGTCTAATATCAAAAAAAATTCTGCTAATATATTTATCATGAAAGGTTTTAGTTTTTTATTTATATATTCTATAATTTTCATAAGCTTCATTCCTCAACTCCTCTAGTTCATGTCGCTGAATAATTCTATGCCCACCAGCTCCTGGATCCTTACATTTCTTGGGCAAAGAATAAAAAATAATGGCACTAGCCTCTTCGGATAAAGATATCTTTTGAGGTGACCTACGAGGTGTGTATAATTCGTTTAAAATTTTTGCATATCTAGGTATATGTTTGATTGCATCTATCAAAGGAATAGAGATCTAAAGTTGTTTAAATATTTCCATAAGCTCTTCATTAGATTCAGCTCTTTCCTAAGTTTGGTTCTACTGCCTTAGGAAAGGGGACTGTTTTTCTAAGTTCATCTAGCTGTGATAAAATAAGAATGGGTGGTACTCTTTTTTTTCTTCTTTTGATTCTTTTTTTTCTTCCTCTAAGTTCTCATCATCAGAAAATAAACTATCATGGTCATTATTATCATCATTCAGCACTTTATCATCATGAACCTATTTTTCTAAAAATTCTAGTGCATATGGATCTTTGAGTTGCTTTCCACTCCTCAAAGTGGTCACTGCTTCTACATTTTCAAAACCTTGAGATATAGATGGTTTATGACTATTAGAAGGTTGATTTTGTGGGTTCATGATGAGTTGACTAGGAAGATGACCTGTTTCATGTTTTGAGTGGGCCAAGGCTAGTTTACCTCTCTCTTTTTCTAGCCTAAGTGTTGTTTGCTGATTTTCTTACCTAATTTGCTCCATCATCTTCATCATAGATGTATTTTTTTCTGGAAATTGTTGGATCATTTGTCCCATAAACTGTTACATCGAATTTGAATTCATATCAGATTGATTTTGATATGAATTAGGATATTGTGGGCTGAAATTAGGGACTGAACTTGAGGAAAAAGGGATGAAATTTTGGGCTGGTAGCTGAATAGTACCTTGCTGGAAATTATGAATATTTTTTCTGAAAAGAAGGCGTAGCATTATATTGTGCCATCACCTGATCGTATCTTGGGCAGTTGACCTCCACATGCTCATGGCTTGAACATAATGTGCAAGCCGTCATATCTTCATTTGTTTTCAGTTGTTGGTGGTCGAAACCTATCGTTGAAAACTTTTGCATCAACCCCTGCACACATTTGGTTAGTTTCTCAACTTTGTCAATCAATAAATCAGTCTCTACATTTTGCAAATCATGAATACCTCCTTTCCTAGGTCCCATGCACATACCATTTTGATTTAAGGCATAATGGTGTGTGCTGTTCTCAACTAATGTTTCAGTCAATTCTATTGCTTCATCCTCATATTTATTCATAAATGTACTTACTGACGCTGCATCGATCATATGCTTGTCCTTCTCATTTAATCCTTCATAGAAAATTTAGACCAATTATCAATTCTGAATTCCATGATGTGGGCATTGGCAGGTGTAGTCTTTAACCCTCTCCCATGCCTCATAGAAAGACTCATGCGGCACCTGCACAAAATCTCAAATAATTCTATGAATTGAGTTAGTCTTACCTATTGAATAAAATTTCTTTAAAAATGCAGCCTCCATCTCACTCCAAGAGTTCAGCTCTTGAGCTAATGCCCACAGCCAATCCTTTACTTTATTGGTATTACAATAGAATGTGTATCCATTTAAAGAAATGTAGCTTTATAAATAACATCCTAGTTTCATTAGCCTATGTGATATGTGTAGACATATAACTTGATGAAGATAAAGTATGATGTATTAAAGTTTCAGTTGACTAAGCTCTTTTTATTGTAGATTTATCAAAAATTTAAATTCCATAATTTCTTCTAGAAGCAAATGCATTAAAAGAGAAACTTTACATGGAGCAAAGAATCAAGTAAAAGTATTATTATGATCAAGGATAAGTTATACTCTACTCAAGTATTAGCATTCTTGAATTTTTATAAATTATTTTAAGTTGAATGTGATGTATCAATAGTTTGACTATGAGCTGTCTTATCTCAAAAACGTTGTTTGGTTGCTTTTTATAGAGGAAAACCTATTAGTGCAAGAGGAAAATAAATGGCATGAATTAGAATGTTATATTGTAGTTAGAGTTCTGTATATTTATAAACATTATCTAATTCAATTAGAACTTATCTTGTTAAGTAATCACCAAGTAGTAAAGTCTACCAATAATCAAACTAGTATGAATAGAATGAATCCAAGATAAGTTTCATTTCTTCAACTATTCATGTTTGGTATCAAATATAAATCAAACGAATTGAATCAAGTTACATACAAGGATAATAGAAAAACTGCAAGTTTGGTCAGCCTTTGTGTTGAAATAACTGTAAATTAATTATACTATGATGAGGAATATTATGCCTATGTTCAGGATGCCTGGAAATTGGATCAATTAATTAAAATATTTAATTCATTAAAAAAAATCCTATTTTGTGGAAATCAATTATGCATCATAGTAAACTCATTATGCGAAAAGTTGATTGGAGAATTGAATTGAGGATCAAGATGATGTAGGGCATAGTCAAATGTTAATATTTAATAAAAGTATGTTATTATTAACTGTAATTAAATAAATATATGAAAAATTATGTGCAAGAATGATAGATTTGTTAAGATAACATGAGATGGTGTTAAAATATTGATTTTTGACTCCATTGTAAATTCTTGATTATGGGCTAACATATTAATGAATTTCATTTTAGGGCTACCACGAACATAGTGAGTAGCAAACTCTATTTTCATGGTTGTTGATTTATTTTATAAAATTGAAACCTTTTATTACTTGCAAGAAGACAAATGATGTAGTCCAAGGAATCAACTTTTTATTCAAGGTGCTTGTAGTGAGTATCTAAGTGAATTATATCTAATTGAGGCTCAAAAAATTTCACACACATTTAGTTGACTCTTTGAAGAAGACATAATTTTATTTTAAATTTCAATAATACTAGTCACCTCACATAGATAGTCAAAAACAATGTAGTAACTAAAAAAATTAAAATTTTAGTTTATGTATTTTAGGAAATGGATTAAGATAGTGTGATCATGTCTTGGCTCAAGTTGAGTTTTGATAAAATTATAAGATTAATCACTCTACTAATTAGTATATATTTTTTATTGTTTACTATTTCTCTCCAAATATTTCTCTAGGCCTATTGAATTTACCAAAAATCATAAAAAAAAATAGCTCACTAAGGTGTCAAGAAATATCTTTTAATGGATTACAACTACAATAAAGAGGTGACTAATAAGAAAATCCAGAAGAATATTTTTGAGGTTAGCTATTTGGTTATGATATATTTATATAAAGAAAGATTTCAAATAAGTACCTGTAAGAAGCTAATGCCAATGAAATATGAGTCTTTTAGAATTCTTAAGATTAATGGCAATACATATGTCATTGAGTTAACAAATAAAAATAATCTTTATAAGACTCTTAAAGTAATACATATTTATGACTACCATGGTGAAGAAAATGAAGACTCAAGGTGAGTTTTTATTGTTTCAGAGATGAATAAGAGTAAATAAATTTACTATTTGACCTCGAGCAAAATGATAATCCATAACTTTCTCATCAATGGTCAAATGAGCTTTTGCATCTATGTCTAGTCTTGAATAAATATGATAGATTCATGTATGTTCATCCGGTCCAATCATATATAATTTTTCATTTCTTTCAAAAGTCTAGTTCAGTCCATCTTTTAGAATTTCTAAGACTTGAGCTATTATTTCACCAATGTTTTAGTAAGTATTTCCCCTCAAATGAATGATGAACGTTTGAGATATAGAGGTTGCCACAGAGTTCCTTTTTAAATGCAAGATATATTTAACATGTGTGTTGCAATGATAGAGAGTCACATAGATCTCTAGAGTATGATATGGACAGATTTATGGATTGATCCATGTGTTTCAAATCCTCATTTATAAATAATTTTTCATGAAGTTGTATTTAATCTATGACATCAATTGGAATTTATAAATGATTTTTTTCTCAATAAAATAATATTATTTAAGTAAAAGAATCACACAATTTCCTTTCATATGATTTCTCTCAAGATGATTTGGTTTCTCAGAATTATAAATGGTTGTATTTATGCACAGTTTGACAATTTGGCTTGAAAAATGAAAATGGACTATTTAAATTTTTGAATCATCATGAAAATGATTTTAATTTGATGTGGTCTTCATGATTTTGATTTTGTTTTTCCAGAGATCAGAGATTTGAGTCAAAGAAAATTTACGTATCTCCTGGTATAACAAAATATGAGCTGATCAAGATTTTGTGTCAGTTTTTATTTGTCTCTATTTTTTGTGAAACCTAGTTTATTGGGTAGAGTCTCATCTGTTTTTATTTTTTGTGTTGGTTTTTATTTGTCTCTATTTTTTGTTTCAAAAACGGCCTCCTTATCTATTTTGGTTATGTTCTAATGTATATTTGTTGTTAGGGAGGCCCCAACTTCTTGCGTGGCCTATTTAAAGGCCCTTACATTATAATCCCACAGCATCTCAAATTATTACAAGCTTTTATATCTTTTGAGTATTTATGTTTGCTTGTGGACTCGCACTTCTCTCCCTTGGGATGGAATACCACAAAACCGACACGTCTACACGAGACAGTAGGTGCGCATCAACTATTAGGAGCAGAGTGTCCGCTGTCAGGAAGCATCAACTATCATGTCAACCCTCGAGGGATGAAACATCAACCATCGTGTCAATTGTCATCTGAACAGTCGAAATGCTAGTTGACGTGTTGGGTGCTCGTGCTTCGCCCTATGAATGGAACAAATCTCCACCTAGTTGAAGAGGCAAGTCATCACACATTTTGGTGTCTCTCTCCTTATTGTGAAGAGCGTGTTCCTCCTTGCGTGCGACTCTATTGTGAAGATGATTGAGGGTCGCATTCTAATCTTAACACCGTCATGTGGGTACGTAAGGTGCAGCCAGGGAGTTAACTGTATGACAGTATTCTTGAGGTTGGTGTTGACTTCCTTCATCAGCAATCTGATGTCTTCAAGTCCGAGTCCTTTGTAAGAGACTGGATGGAGCCTATCTCAGAAGTGACAGACCAAGAGGTTATCACGCTGCCATTTGATGGGGTGGGACCGGGGGAAGGCAAGGTCCATCCCAAGCGTGATGTAGGATGAATATGACTGATGCGGATGAAATGAGTAGGGAACACAATGGGTAAATAACAAGCCACGAAATTCGCACATGATCGGATCCGAACCTTTGAAAACCGACTGCGATGAGGTGAGAAGATCGTTCCGTTCCTCGATCGAGGGCAGGACTGTCTCAAGTCACCGTGATAAAACAAAGCTCCACGTTTCAAAATCTTAGTCGGCCTCGAAACAAGCAAATCGCAACCCACTTGGCTGGTCTCGAGCCTACACGGCTAAATCCGATGGCGGTGGAAACACGTATGAGGAAAGACGGGATGAAATCAAAATACACGACCACTAGAGAGGTTGAGAGGGGACCTTCGGCATTTGCACGCCACAATGTTGACGTCGATGGGAGAGCAGAAGAGGACGAGCCCGTCGCAAATCCAACGGAGTAGGGCACCTTGGCGGGCGGGGTCAAGGGGGGAAGCCGCCCCCTTGCAGGGTTCGGGGCAGCGCCCCGAAACCTAAATCCAATGCTGGACGGAGCAGGGCGCACAGGGTGTGTGCGATCAACATACACGGCGGAAAGCTTGTGCAGGGCGAGTCGCTGTAGTGCATCAGCCAGGCGCGGGACGCGCGAACGCTTGGGCAGGATCCACGGGACGCTTGAGCGCCCGCGGGAGGCTCATACGCGGCGTGTTGCCGGCACTCCGAGGGATGCTGATCGGCATGTTGCCGGGCACACGAGTGCTGATAGAGAGATCCGCCGGTGACGACAAAGAGGGTTGACCAGAAGGTAGCGGGGGGGGACGCGGATCAGCGGCGGTCACGCGGATCCCTTAGGGCACGATCTCTCTTATAATAAGTCTTATGAAGATCAAAGCCAGGTTCAATAGAAACCGTAGGCCTATTTATATGCCTCGGGAGGAGAGAGAGGATCACAGCCTAAAGTAAATAAAAAGAAATCAAATATGAGTAAGTCCTAATAGAAATAGAAGCCGGCGGTGACGTGGAGTGGCCTTGATGTCGTGGTCGCCGATGGTGGGGCTAGGGTCCATGCCCCACCAAAGTGTGGTCCTTCCCCTGTGGCCACATTCACCCGAAGTGAGAGGGGGGGATCGGGGAAGGGTGGGTCACTGAAATGGGTGTAACCAATGGAATGAAGAACCTGATGAGTAACGCTTCCCTTGCCCCCATCTAATGCTCTTTATTCTGTTCACCGATCATTCCTCTCGTTCTACAGCAGTTATAAGTGCTCGAGGATGTTCTCGCTTGAAACTTTAGGCTGTGAATGTCGGCAAATCCTAGATTACTAATATAAGCAGAGATGGGATCCATCTTCTACGGCTCTCAGATATGGCCACCGAAGCATCGGCCTTCTAAAAGAACACCCACCCATTGGGCTCGCACCCACCCAAGAACGAGCTTCCCATGGCCGGAAAGTTCAAGCGTCTTGTAAGCTTCCCATGTTCCTGTTTTGTTTCTTGGGGTAGAGTCAACATGTTGGAGCAGAACCTGAAGCCAGCAAGCTTTCGGACTTGGATCCAGAAACTCGACAGGCTGTTGAGAAAACGACGGTATCGCTACTAACCGTAATGGTTACTATTCCTGGTTTTCAGTTATTGTCAGCCGCGTGGCGTTGACTTTGCAGCATTTGCCGGGTCACTGGCGCTTCCAGTGTGACCAGAGAAAAAAAATCCCAGGTTCTCCCGACGGCTGGCGACGAGCAGAAGCAAGAAATATTCGGGAGGTTCGCGGCATAGGTAGACCAACTCCCCACGAAACCCCCATGAACTTATCCGTTCACACCGGCAAGTTCCCTCCTGATGATACAGTTTGCTCTCTGACGAGCGTGGTACAGTGTATTTTCTTCTCAATCTGCCCCGAGAGGCTCGGGGAAGACGCTTCCAGACATCACGAGGCTCTCATGCGCCGTGCATAGTTCCATTCGCCGTGATTGATTCTACAGAGCCTTATCAGGCAGATCTTTCTGGGTCAAACTTACTCGGCCAGCCAGGCCCTAACCATCTGTCGAATTGTTCGTCATCTCATTTGCTCCCACACCCTTTCTTCTGATTTCGTTTCCGCACTTTGTCCAGAGTGGAAAATTTTGAAGGATGATCAGGCCGTCGCTGGGAGTCGCTCCCACACACGGAAGCCGGTCTTCTCCTCGCCTTCTTCTCCTCCCACAGAGAAATGAAAGGGATGCATTTGACTGGGTTTGCTTACCGATCTGCGATCTGTCCCTGAGGTCTTTTTCCTCTCGGCGAGTCCAGCCTTTGCCGGGGGGCCTTCGACTATATCACGTCTGTCAAGCACGGCAGGCAGCGACCGCACTGGGCTTCCAAACTTGGCCAACAATGGGCCCAGCCTATCAGCGCTGGCGGGCAGGCAGCTCGCTCGCGGATGTGGAGGACGATGAGCGGGGCCCTCACTCTTCTGAAATCGCTGTCGCAGTCGCAGGGCAGAGCTTCGACTCCTCCGACCGCCCGCACCAGATGGAGATCCCCGCCGGGTTCTCGTCTTCCTCGGGAATCACCCCAGCCTTCAACATGTCGGCGAGCAACGCCATGGCGTTCATCAGGCGCCCCGACCGGCACTGCCCCTTGAGGAGAAATGCGTATGTAGGGGCGTCCGGCACCATGCCGGCCTCCCTCATGAGCAAGAAGAGTCTCCCGGCTTTGAAGTCCTGCGCGTCCGCGTGGAGACCGCGGATGAGCGCCATGTAAGCCATGCCGTTCGGCGCACAGGGCAGGCAGACACCGATGGACTCCGACGATGATTTTGGCACCTTCCCAGTCCCCATATCGACCCCGATGCTCTTCAGCAGGAGATGCATCGCCTCGCGGCTCCTCCCCTGCCTGCACAGTCCGTCGACCAGAGCGCAGAGAGTGAAGGCGTTTGCCGGCACGCCCGCCTCGACCATCTCCCTGTTCAGCCGGCGCACCTCCGCCAGATTACCCTTCTTCATGTGACCGTCGATGAGGCTCGTGTAGGTCACCACGTCCGGCGTGCGGCCCCTGACCACCATCTCGGAGAAGATCGCCGTCGCGGTTTCCATCTCACCCTTCTTGCAGTGTGCGTCGATCAGCAGAGAGAAGGTGATCGCGTCGGGCTCGACTCCCTCCTCGGCCATCTGCGACCAGATACGCGTCGCCTCCTCCGCGTTCCCCTTCTTGCAGTGCCCGTCGATCAGAGTGTTGTACAGGACGGGGCTGACACGAACGACGTCCCCTTCCCGGCGCATCTTTTGCAGCAACTCCGACGCCTCCTGCGGCCTGCCCGCCTCGCAGAGGCCCTTCATTAGTATGCCGCAGGTGACGGCGTCCGCCCGCACACCTGCCCTCGTCATCTCCGACCGCAGCTCGAGCGCCTCCGAGAGCCTCCCGGATTTGCAGAGTCCCTCGATCAGACAGTTGTAAACCTGCGCATTCGGAACCACGCGGTGGTGGCGAACCATGGCCCGGAAGAGCGTCCTCGCCTCGCTCGTCCTGCCCTCCTTGCAGAGGCCGTTCACCAGGGTGCCGAAGGTGACCACATTGGGCAGCAGGCCGCGCCTCAGCATCCCCCCGTACAGCGCCAGCGCCCCGCGCACGTCGGCCCGTCGGCAGTGCCCGTCCATCAGGACGTTGTAGGTGTAGAGATTGGGAGGTACGCGCGACCGCACCATGCGCCCCAACAGCCCCAGCGCCTCCCGGAGCCTGCCCTCCTCGCATAGGCCGCAGACGACCGTCGTGTAGGTGACGACGGAGGGGTCGACCCCCTTGGAGATCATCTCATCCAGCAGGCGCAGAGCCCTCGACAAGTCTCCCTGCCACCGGCAGGCGTTGAGCAGTATGTTGTAGGTTACGCCGCTCGGCTGCCGTCCGCGGCCGACCGTGTCTGCGTACAGGCCCCACAGGCAGCTGAACCGACCCGCCCTGAGCAGCCCATTGAGAAGCGCGTTCCAGGCGTTGATGGAGGGAGGATCGCCGAGCTGGTGGAACACCCACAGGGCCTCCTCCACCAGCCCGCCCTGAGAAAGCACGACGATGAGAACGTCGAATGCCGCCCTCCCCGTTCGGGCGACGACCTTGGAGCCCTGGAACCTCCGCATAGCACCGTACGCGTCCCGGCCGAGGTGAGGGGCCGGGTATTCCCTTCCCGCGCCTCGGAGCTCTTGGATCAGTTCTTTCGTCAAGCAGATGGCCTGCGCATACCGTCCAACCCCGACCAATTGGTGAATGACGGCCGAAAAGAGCCTCGTCCGGCCCTGCCGACCCAGACTCTGCCAAGAAGCTCCCCGCCTGAACAGAGCGGCAACTTCAGACGTCCTCCGCCGGCCCCCGAGGGAAGAAGCGATGAGGTCCGAGACCGGGAGATCCGGCGGCCGAGAGCATGGGGAAGGAGAGGAACAATCACAGAAGCTCCGTATACTCGGTAGGCCGCCAACGGCACCCGCCTTGACTCGACGCAGGAGAAGGCACGACATTTCCCCCGCCGCCGCCGCCATCACAAAGCGCCGCCCCCGCGCAAATGATACGCCTCCTCCTGCCGTCATTTAAAAATCAGACCGACCTTCCGGAACCAAAGGAGACATCGATTATGGGGGTAATCCAGAAGAGCAACTGGCCATGATCTTGCTCACCCGCCGCCCCACAACACCAACCAACATACGGCGCTGTCGACGTTCGCGGTAGCCACCCACATTTACGACGCCCCACGCCAATGATGAGGTACACACACACACACAAAGAGGGCGACACAGTTTTGAGACCTCTCGCCAGAGAGAAAACAGAGCCACAGGGCAAGCAAGCGCCAAATGAAAGACGGGAAGATACACAGCCACCTCCAAGTCGGAGGGAGGGCGTGTCGACACAAAAGACCACCACCAGGGGCAGACTGTGGACAATGAATCTGGCCACCAGAGGCGGGGAGTACAAGTCCCAAGTCCCACGGGCAAGTGTGTCCTAAGATCCACCCCCGGCATACGAATCAATTCTCACCAGCTGGAACTTGATGCGGCGTACTCGCCACGGCTCACCAAATGAACGGGACCGAGGCTGCTGCGGACGGGGATGGGGAAGCGCGGCGCGATATCTACAGACGGGACGGGGGTGGGTGGTGGTGACCGCATGAAAAATTAATTTTTCGTCACGAAGTATGACAAGGGATGGTCTGGCGGCATCGCCTCCTTGATTCTCTCGAGCACCTTGAGGATCTCCAGGAAAGGCGGTCTCCGACTCATGTCGGCGTGCCAACACTCCTCCGTCAACCTGACCAGATTTAGGCATCGACGAGTTAGTCAGACTGAAGCGTGAGGGAGGGAGTGTGATGAGAGACTGGGGGAGCCACAAGACACAGATCTGGACTTCGTACAGAAAAGACGGGCACTTACTTCTTCAAATCGGGATGGAGTCCCTTGGTGCGAAAGACTGGTCTGTGCCCTTCCGCCACACGCCTCGCAGCCTCGTACGGCTCGAAGTTTGAGAATGGAGGCTCACCCTCGAGCATCTAAACGAAGTCACCAAGGATGTGAGTCCGGATTGCGGGCTTGGCCTCATACAATATCAGATTCGGGAAAGAACTTACCTCATACAATATCATTCCAAAGGAGAAAACATCAACCTTCTTGTCATATTTCCGATGCTTGAAGACTTCAGGGGCCATATACCGATCTGTGATTTCCACCAAACAGAATTAGTGCAAAAATATGATGAACCACCTTTGATAGACGATGACAAAAGTTGTAGCTAGCACTTACAGCTTCCAGTCTCTCCGGTCATTTTGTACACGTCATGCGAGTTCTGGACTTTTATGAGCTTACTCAGTCCAAAATCCCCCACTTTCAAGTGGTCCGCACTAGAATTCACTAAAAGTACATTCCTGAAAGTATTGCTTGCCTTCAGTGCCAGAGTCAAAACCTTGCCATATACCCGAGAAAAAAAATTCTACTTATAGTACCTGGGTTTTAGATCTCGGTGGATTATAACATTGGGTTCATTATGGAGATACGCCATGCCTCTGCGGATTGAAGCAGATTGGTTAACTTACACAGTTAAATCACTAAATCAAATAAACTAGGGTATGCACGGTCCTGCCCAAACTCATGCTGATGATTAAATTACCAGATCAATCTGCTAAACTAAGATCTTTAAAATAAGTGAGGGATATAACAAAGCGTTGTTAGCTGGAAAATCAAGAAGCTGCATCCCTAAAGCTGACAGGAAAAAAGCTACATGAAGCATTGTAACGAGAAGCAGTACACCATCTGCATCAAACAAAAAAAGATGGAGCATCTGTAGAGAAATATTCGTTAAAACAGGGTAACATATATTTACCCCCAGTTGACCATATTGTAAATGTATAATGGAATAGAGTTCCGAGCATTAGTTTGGATATTGCGGTGGATAGGAGTGTCAATGAGCTGGGAGAGCTCAAAATTCGGGCCCATTATCTTTTGAAGTGGACCCAAAAAATAAGACCTGAAGAGAACTCGTCAGACAAAGCCCAGCGCTCAGACAGCAGGACCCAACCTGTGCAGGCATCTAGTCTGGAAGACAAGAAGCGCACGAAAAACAGTTACTCGGAAAGGACTTCTCTATGCTTCCCCCGGTTGTGCTGGGAGACATTTTGATGCAGAGATTGGAGGAAAACAAAAAGATAGTACAGCAGTATCTTTCATTGCACTGAATTATGTTATCACTAAAGGTTTGGTCTCTTGCTTTTACCACGTACTTCAGGAGCATTTGTTTGTTAAAAGTAAACAGTGGAAACCTGTAACAGGAGATCCGAGCTCCTCAGAAGATTGCCCTGAATCAATCTGATCTACTGCCTGGCTGGGTTGGATCTGCCCTTTTCCAGGTCCCTACTATGGTCTGAGGTGAATGGTTGAGTGTCTTGTGTGATTTGAGGTTGTATGTTGTAGGCAATCATTATCTACAGTTCATCAGTGTCACTATCATTTATTTCTCAACGAAATGTGATCTTTTCTACCCTAGAATACACTTAGGAACACTTGAAATGACGAATAAGAATGCAGATTTATAATATATTCCGAACTAACAACATCGAATCTAAGTATTTAGAGTAGAAACCAAACATCTCATCACAGTGATAACAGAGAACTTAACCTGATGCCATTTACAAAAAATGGCACACCATATACGTTAAATGAAGTCCACTACTTACTATGAAGCTTTGATTCCGTCATATTCTCTCTCCCTTTTCACTCTTTCTTGGCTTCTTCAATTCTTACCCTCTTCAAACACGATTTTAATCACACCTCTAAACCAGATAGAGTGCATAGAGAAAGACCAATCTGAGTATCATGCTCGCACAAAGTTCAAGCTTAGAAAAAGGAACAATGTTTCAGCTCTTTATAACATAATTAACCCCCTAAAGGACCTATTATTATGAATTATCAAGTTAGAGGTATCCTTCTTCATTATAATGTGACTAAGTTTTTTTAATTAAATCGCCCTCTTACTTTAAATATGAGAGGCCAATTAAAGAATAACATTTCTTCTAGTTTCAATAAAATGCCCATCAGTCATTTTTTTGTAAGACTAGAAGCAACCACTTCAACTGCAGATGGTACATGTTATCTGGTGTATTTAAAAACCAGTGAAGTTAACATGAACTTGCAGCATCTCAATTCAACTAATTTTTCAGCATTGCCAACAATAATACTCAATCAGGGGGCTGCGAAAATTCTCCAAATCTCAATAAAAACACAAGAAAAGTCAATGACAACTGACGTGATAAATTTCTATAAAATAAGAAAAATGTGACGTGTATATTGTCAAAAAGATCTACGTTACTGCTATGGCATCTAGAGATTTTAATTAAAGTACAAACTTGAAAAAAAATCCAATCCTGCAAACACGTTAAATTTCCTTCACATCAACATTGAAACACAGACATGTATCATTCTATTGCAAGATGGCATATGTCAGTGTATTGTCATTTCTTGAAAGATTGGGATAAGCATGTACCTGGCCATATCTAGTGCAAAATTAATTGCAGTTAGAGTACTAAGGGAGCCTTTTTCCTTCAGGTATTGGTGAAGATCGCCCTATAAAAAGTAAAGATCTCCATTACATCAACAAAACAATGCACTTCAGACGAAAAGTCATACCTAAGACAGTGCCAATCACTTATACCCCTCGCAAATACTCAGTAATTAACATCAATGGATTCCTTTCTGTGACAGCTCCGAGGAATTGAACAATATTTGGATGTCGCAGTTTTACCAACAAATTAACCTCATGCCTGAAGTCTTGCCTGAAGACAAAAATCCCACTTTGTTAGATCACGAAAATCTCCCACAGATGAAAATTCTTGCTGTTCATGTAGAAAATAAAAAGCGGATTTAGAGAGAGAAATGAGTGAATTTTCAAGTAATGGAGAATTGTCAAGCATGTATCTGCGTTGCAAACTGAAACTTCTGGCACAAAAGTAATTGGTTCACATAATTATACCAAATTACAGAATGGCTGGTGTAATGTCATTCGATGCCAATGAAAAAGGTATGTGAAAGCAATGAGTGCATAAAGAAAAACCCTTTCAACAGCAAAATTCAAAATAACAGCATAGCAGCATACAAGAACACTGAGAGAATTTGCTAGGACGAAATAGGCAGGCAACACGTTCAAATATCAAGTTCATGGTACAGTATGCATCTTGTTTCTTATGAAATAAGAGCACACAGCTTCACCAATTCCATTTTTCAACATTATATTCCAAATAAGTTTTGACCAAAGATTAACCAAACAGACTTATGTGTATAAAGTTGTGAGGCATCAATCCCACGTAAGATAACAAATGATAGGTATTAATGTTTCCAACAGTGCTCTTTGGACACATGATTATTTGTAGTTATTAGTGTTAAAATTAGTGAAGAATAGTTTAAGGATATATTTATATACAAATGTAAAACTACCTTATGGGAGAAAATTTACACAAGTAAGACATCATTTAATCGTTTGCATATCTGATCCTCAAACATTCGTTGAACTATTGGTGTTGTTCTGCACTGCTAGGTTTTCATATGGCAAGGGGATGACGACTAAATGTATTCCTATTCTATATGGATGCACAGATCGGGACAGTGCACGGATACAATTTGCTTATGAACCTCCTAAATTAAAGGATTGAATTCCGAAAGGGCACTATTTCTGTCAATATGGACTAAAATCGCTCCGATTTTTTGTAATTTTATTTTTTCCTTTCATCTTCATATAAAGATGCGATTGCCGACCACAGATGGGGGGACAATGTTCAACATGGTCATTGAACATGATGTAAGTACTCAGAGATTACTGTGGAATTGCAAAGGCGAAATTGTTGCCTGTACGCCTTCTCAGAGTGATTTGGACGTTTTGAACCTGGTAGGAATTAGAATTGAGAAATTCTTCAAGGCGTCAGATGCCATGTTTCTAAGATGAAAGAACTGAATACGTAGCAGGAGAGTGAGAAAGCAATCAAGTGGAACCATGTACCACATGTGACCAGTTAGGAAATGTGGGCTATAGGTGACATTGATTGTTCTTTGTGCTGTACCTCCTCTCCCTTGTGCGCCATGGTTCGTTGAGTTTAAAAAGGTGTTATTTCAGCATGTCTGACCTTAGAAACCAGTCGAACAGGGAAAATTTTGCCATACCAAACCTACCAGTTATCATTTCCCTCATTTCATTGGGACAGATACATTCACCGAGACATTTTGATATACAAAAGAGTAAAAAAAATATACGGCCTAGCAACAGAATGGAATAATAACACTTCTTGAAAGCATTCATTATTTTTGCAGTGGTTGTTTCAGTTTCTAGTAAACCACTGCTAGCTATCTATGAACATTCAAATGCATAATCTTACGTTACTAATCTGTCATCAGAGAGTGATGGAAGAATTCGTTTCACAGCAACAGGTGTTCCACGCCAACATGCCTTTAGTATTTCACCGAAAGAGCCCTGAGAAGAAAAGCCATCACCACTGAGAATAAAGCTCAAATGAGAAATTTGAATGACAAAAAACAGGAAAAAAGTTTAGCATTGTGTAGTTCTAGCATAATTAAATGAGCATAACTTGACTTGTAAGCTACTGAGAGAATTTTAAAATTTTTAATCTTCATCCATATCTATCATGTATCTTACATGAATTCACCTTTGCACTTAAATGCATAAAATCAAAGATAAAAATCCATCGCCCTAGCACACAAGTAATTATCTGGCATCTTACACAAAAAGGAATGTTGGCAATACGATAAAGCAGTAAATCTGCAAGGTTTGTTGTAAGAAAGGGGAGGTACTGATAAAAGTTCAATATCACAGCCACTAAAATTTCCAAGGAAAGCATTGAGGTGACTCTGGAAGTTTTGAATAAAAAACCATATAACTGTTTATTACATGAAGTTAACATTACAGACATGAGTAAACAAATAGTTATTTAGTTTGCAAATGTAATACACGAATTTCACAACTGCGTGCTACCTAATCAATCAAAAAAAACAGTCGTCTTGTCAACAAACGTTGCTTCTAGAAAAGTTAGACATTTTCAGAGGTAGACCTTGTGAACACAGGAGCCATCACTCTATTGTTGGAAGCATGACAAGAAAAAAAATTGAAAAATAAGGAAGAAAAATACTAGCAAATGGCAGTTTTCTGTCTCATAGGCTGAAACATGGCATTTGAAACCTTCTCATGTTTTAGATTGGACACCTCGTAGACAGTTTCCAGGTTTCAAATGCTGCATCAATATGGCAGTTCGCTAAAAATAAATATTAATTTTTGCCCCGAAAATAATTACATAACTGGAACTTGCCAGAGGGCATTCAACAACCATCCATCCATAGATTCCAGATCATGAATGGTGATCAGTTTTTCCATTAACAATAGTTGAAATATTCACTAGGAGCACAAGCAATGGTACACATACTTTTCCAATGATCGTCGAGGATGAGAAATCCAACTCAGAAGGATCAATTTCCCAATCACACTTGTTTGGGAGTGGAGGTGGAACTTGTTTTGGCTCAAAATGGCTTCCATTTTGTCCCTGTGACATTCATATTAAACATTAATCATAAAAAATGGCTTCCATGGAGTGTCAAACTTTATAATCTGAAGGAGAAGAAGAAATGAAATAGCTCTGGTATCCAATGAGCCACCAATTTATTTTCACATTCCTAGCAAGATAGAAAGAAATAAAATAATGGTTATCCCACGGAAGTTATGACGAAGCAAATGAGATCTTTACACTTAAAATATGTTGATCTTTAAATTTCACAGAAACAACACAGCCAAAGCAAACATTACCTTGTACCACACTTAAGCAAACATTAAAGAAGAGAACACAACTTAAACCTTAGAAGAATTAAGTCGGGAATGACCAACTTCAGCTAGACTGAAGCCATAGGAAGAATAAATGGACACTAACTCATGACAACTTGCACAAGTCAATGCAATCTTATGAGGACCACAGAAATGATTTTTTGTATCATAGGAGTCTTACCAAAATAGCATTTAAAAAAGCCATGGAAGAGTTCTAAAAGAAAGAAATGTGTATATGAAAGGATGGATAGGCTGATTCCTTAACAAAAGGAGAATACTCATGTTTGTGGACCATATTAAGAGAAGAACATTCAAACAGACAAGAATAAGTCAAACTCACAAAAGATGAGCCACCATGTGTCTTCAGTAGCGCAATCATGTCTTTCTTTTTAGCTCCTTCTGCGTCAGCTAATGGCTGAAATAAAAATGTGGCTTCAGTGAACTGAACAAAATGACTGAATGTTGAAATAACTAGTGACTAAAAACGATTATCCAATTTATGTAGTATTATAACGAACTTATCACTAGCTTGATATGACAGTTCTCAACATGATATTTAGAATACATATTTTATGATTATTTTCCTAACAACAGAAGCAAGCTTGGCATACTTCTCAAAAGTGTACCATAGGTTATTAAGTCTAAAAAACTCATTATTATTTTTTTGGATAATTAGTTATAAAATGGCAGAATGATATATGCATATTCTTTTCAAAAGACAGAACATACAGAATAGAGAACCTATCATATATCTTGTTTATCCTTAAAGATTGCAGCAAGGCCCACAATCCTATATATCCACCAACCCAGTTCCCTTCCAGTTTGATGATATTTTGAATATAGTGGCAGCAAAAGCATCGACTTGACAAGAATATTATACAATCATGATTTTATAATATCTGACATTCTATCTTGAATCAAAAACGACAGGCCCTGAAGTTCCGTACTTAGGTAGAGGACATTACATCACCTACTCTCAGTTATTTCAAACATTGGTGATTAGTGATTCATTCAAAACCCTCAATGATTTCACATGTGCCTCACAAAAGAAACTTTATAATTCATACCATTCCCTTGCAAACTGTTCTATAGCTTAATGTTGAACTCTCTAGGATTGTTTTTCCTTTCTATCTGTTTCTTTACACTGCATTTTCGTCCTTCTCTGTCATTCCCTATGTTAAGTGGATCCATTAGACGGTTAACGGATCCACCTAAAGTTTAAGTAATGGGCCTGGCCCATTAACCCATGTAACCCGTACTTAAGCAGGAAACCAAGATAATTGATGTAAGATTTTGGGATTACGGAAACTCTGCTCCAAGAAGTGGTGACTGATTCATCCTCCTGGAAGAGGAGGATTGTGAAGATCAACTCCTTTCATTCTTCAAGTTGCAAGAATCTCAATCAAGATCAATTCTCAACATGGTATCAGACGGTACTGATTCTGGTAGGATCAGATACTTCTTGTTTCTTGCTTCTTGAATCTTGTTATTCTTGTTTCTGTGTTGGAGCAACACCAAGGAAGAAAGAAACCTTCCACAAGTAGTGAACTGAGGCATTCTGAAAGTACGAAGAAAAAAGACTTTCGGAATGCATTCAGGGGAAGGCTCTTCGTCATCCATGGAACTCGTATCATCTCCAGTGACGACTGGAGAAAGGGAGAGATTATATCATACTCTCCCTAATATCCCAGAGAAACTCAGATTCAATGGGATAAATCTTCATCAATGATAGCAGTTCGTTGATCTGATGTTTCTTGGAAGAAGCTTAATAGATCACCTTTTAGAAGAACCATTGAAGCAATCAGATCCAAAATATAGAGGATGGAAATCAGAAGAGGCTATTATCCATACATGGCTGCTAAGTACAATGACACCAGAGATGTATGAGAATTTCTTATTCATGCATTCGTGGAGAAATTGTGGGATCAAATTCACAAAAGCTGTTCAAAGAAACACAACGATTGGAGGATTTATGGCCTGGTGTCTAAGGCAACACATTAAGTGCAGTAAATCAATTATAGAATATTCGTGTGAATTAAAGGCTACATGGAGGGAGATTGACCATTATTGACCAGTAAAGAAACCTAGTTTTGAGGAGCGCATGTATACATTGAAACACAGAATGTATACATTTCTAATGGGACTGAACTCTGATTATGAAAGTCTCAAGGGTCAAATTCTTCATCGTGAGAAGGTACCTAATCTGGAGGAAGCTATCCAGATTGTTATGGAAGAGGAGAGTAGATTGAGTCTAATCAATACTGGGAAGAATGAGTCAACAGCCTTCGCCTCCAGCAAGCAAGTTCAGGGGAATCAATTAGAGAAAAAGGAGGGAAATCAAAACCAAATCACTACATCACAAGGAAGATACCAGAAGTAGGATAATAAAGAAAACCTTTGGTGTTCATATTGCAAGAAGAAGCGGCATAAAAGAGAAAACTGCTGGAAGCTACATGGACGACCACCTCAACAGGGGGGGGCATATGTGGCTACTTCTCAACCAGCAGAGACTATAGAAGGTAAAGCTGTGATAAAGGAACCTCCCAATCCTAGTAATCAGCAGAAGGGTGATGAATTTGAAAGACTGAGGGAGGAAGTAGAGAAACTCAAGAATATGCTGAACTCTACGTCCTTGGTTCAGTCAGGTGAGCATATTTTTTTCTCAAAATCATATGCATTTAACAGTTTTTTTAAATTGTCCTGGATACTTGACTCTGGCGCCACAGACCATATGACCTCAAATATGTGCAAATTTGTTGATTATACGAAATGTGATGGGCAGAGGAAAGTTATTACTGCTGGTGGTGAGATTATACAAGTTGAAGGGATTGGGAACTTGAAAATAAATCATTTAGGCACTTAAAAAATGTTTTACATGTGCCTAAACTAAAGGCTCATTTGATTTCACCGCAGAAACTTGTAAAGATATTAATTGTCGTTTCATTCTTGAGGATGATGGATGTTCATTGTGTGACAAGGTCTCGGGGCTGAAGATTGGTCATGTTAAGGAAGAAGGAGGCTTGCTCTATTGGGAAGAGGATGATCGTGCCACTCTGCCTGTACAGAGTCACCTTGGAGTGGAGTCAGCGAACACAAAAGGAATAGTATATTGTTACAACACTGTCATGTTGGACATCCTTCCTTTGATCTCTTAAAAACATGATTTCCTCTTATATTTGAAGGTGTGGATGTAAAAACTCTAGTTTGTGACATTTGCCAATTGGCCAAACACAAATGCTCCTCATTTGAAAATGTTGGTGAACATAGTACAATCCCATTATATCGTATACACAGTGATATTTGGGGGCCAGCACCTATGACTAACTTGTCTGGATGCAGGTGGTTTACCTTGTTTGTTGATGACTGTACTAGGTTTACTTGGGTTTACCTCTTAAAATCAAAATCAGACACCACCCAAGTGGTGAAATCTTTTTGTGAAATGATCTATAATCAATTCAGAACTATGGTCAAGAGGTTTAGATCAGATAATGCTAGAGACTACAATTCGGCTGTGTCCTCTTACTTTGATCAGAAAGGGATAATTCATGAGTCATCTTGTGATAATACACCCCAACAAAATGGGGTGGCTGAGAGGAAAATCGGACACTTACTGGATACAACTAGAACTCTTCTGTTTCAAGAAAAAGTTCCGAGGCAATATTGGGGTGAAGCTGTCTTCACTAGTACTCATCTTATTAATAGGATTCCAGCAAAAACATTGGAATATCAAAGTCCTATGGAACTATTGAGTAAATTCTATCCTCATGAGAAACTAAAGACTCATCTTCGTCCCAGGGTATTTGGATGTACTGTTTATGTTCATGCTCAAGGCATAGTGGGAAAACTTGATCCACAATCTATAAAGTGCATATTTGTTGGGTACTCAACTACACAAAAGGGTTATAAGTGCTATAATCCTACTTCTAAAAAATTCTTCATCTCAGCTAGTGTGACTTTTAATGAGTTTTAACCATATTATGGGATGAAAAATCCACAAGAGTTAGAGAACTCGATTTCTGCCACTGAGTCACAGGACAAATGAATTCATGATTCAGGAGACGCCCATTCCTAGAATCAAAGAAATACAAGTGTATAAGAGACGACCTAGAGTAGGGACACAAAATATACCAGCTGAGATGAATAATTTACCTGCACTGCAGAGAGGACCAGCAGAAGAAACTAGTCCAAGTACAAGAGACACATCTCAAATTTATAATACTGATCAAGAAGAGGATCGTCAATTCACTGAAGCCATTGATGAGGAGCAACTAGATTGGCCCATTGCTCTACGCAAAGGTAAGAGAAGTTGTATAAATAAACCACTTTATCCTATGGTCAACTATCTATCATATGATAGGTTAACACCATCGTACAAGGCTTTTCTCATGAGCCTGAAGACAATTATTATTCCCAAGACAATAGAAGAAGCCCTGTCACACAAAGAATGGAGTCATGTCATGGATGAAGAGATTGATGCACTAGAGAAGAACTGTACATGGGACTTAGTCCCTTTGCCTTCAGGAAAAAAGGTGGTTGGCTGCAAGTGGGTATATACTCCCAAGTATAAAGCTGATGGAACATTGGAAAGATATAAGGTAAGGTTGGTGGCTAAAGGTTATTCACAATCTTTTGGAATTGATTATTTTGAGATGTTTGCTCCTGTTGCAAAGCTGAATACCATCCGGATACTTATAGCATTGGCAGTAAATCTAGAATAGGAAATGCATCAGTTTGATGTGAAGAATGCATTTCTTCACAGAAATCTGGAGGAAAAAGTATATAAGAATGTACCTCCAGGTTACACATTTACCCATCAAAAGACTCTTGTTTGCAGGTTGAACTTGAGAGGGGGTGTTGAACTCTCTAATATTGTTTTTCCTCTCTACCTGTTTCTTTACACTGTATTTTCGTCCTTCTCTGTCATTCCCTATGTTAAGTGGATCATTAGACTGTTAACAGATCCACTTAAAGTCTAATGTAATGGTCCTGGCACATTAACCCATGTAACCCGTACTTAAGCAGGAAACAAAGATAATTGATGTAAGATTTTGGGATTACGGAAACTCTACTCCAAGCAGTGGTAACTGATTCATCTTCCTGGAAGAGGAGGATCGTGAAGATCAACTCCTTTCATTCTCCAAGTTTCAAGAATCTCAATCAAGATCAATTCTCAACACTTAACTAACAACTACCCAAACCAAAATCAGGAGAGGAAAGGCACATCTTCAAAGGAAGTGAAATCCTCCTCCCATTGTCAAAGACAAAGTTGCAAGGGTGATCAAAACAATCAGAATAGAATGGTAATATTCTAAATGCAAGGGATGGGAAATGATAGCATTCCCTTAGGAGCAAAAATGATGTAATCAAACAACATGACTCAAATCTTAGCCCCAAAGATACAAGTTTTGATCAAAAGAAATCCAATAAAGACTCTGTAAAGAAAGAACAAACCTCACTTTGGAAAAATACGCAGGACTCACCAATATTTCGGTATGAAATCACCCTTTAAAATGCAATTACAATACCCCCAGAGATAGACATCACCCAAAGAGCCAGAACAGGAGATTGACTACAAACACCCTCTCCTCTAACTGATATTTTTGGTCTCCTTTACGTTTTGCACATTATATTGAACATATAGGATGATTGTATACTCCCATTGATACCCCGTAGTGGAGCTCAAACAGCCCCGTAAATTACCAATTTGAGTAGCTAGAAACAGCAGAGGCACGACCCAGAAGGACAACAACACATTGACAAAGGAGATGGCTAAGGAGACTACTGAATAGATTACAGCTCCTGAACAGTTTGAAGACAGGTGCTCAGCTAACATGACGAAATGGGAATCCAGGGAGAGGATACCAAGGTGGCAGGGGGCAAGGGGCCTTAGGTCACAAGAAAGTTAAGAGGTTTCTCAACCAGATTGATGAAAAGATGGAGAGCGAGCAGACGAGTTTGTTAGCATGGAGGGTACTTCTCTGAATGAGGTTATTATTAGAGAGAGGGCAAAAAAATGTCAATTCAGCCTAATGCACTACAGTGAAGGGTAATGGGAGGTCAACATTGGAGGAAGGGAAAAAGCTTGACGTGGGAGGAGATTAAGAGAAGAGCGAGCAATAAACTGACAGAAGCACGATAATCACCAGGAGAAATGTCAGGTTCGTTGCAGGCTGGTGAAAAGGGCGGTGAGGAAGTTAAAAGAGCTATGATGATGATCGGAGAGGTCATTTCGCTGACAGTAGGTGAATGGAATGAGTTCTTGACGGAGGAGTTGGCATGGTTTCAAACATTAGGGATACATTTTGTTTCTCACATAATAAGGATTCTCTAATGGGTTTGTAAGAGATTTCTCAAGTGAATATGGCCACTTAACCAGGGAGGAGAAATTACGGTTTGGGAACTCAATAGGATGCAATGCTATCATGGAGTGGAGGAGACTTTTAGTGTTGTGTCTGCCACTTCGGAAGCATGAGTGGTATACGTCATGAAGGGTAGAGAAGGGACTCGAACTCTAAGCTAGTTTATTCAGAAAAGGGGATGGTTGAGGGTATCGGATGACTTCTTGCTGAGGATTTCTAGAGACAAGATTTCTAGAGTAATCAAATAACCACATGCAGATTATGACAACAGAAAAAGAAAACCCACGATCATTAGTTCAGATATCACGCAGAGTGTGTAGTTGAATTATATAGTCAATCATTTAAGTTTAAACATATTTTCATTGGGGGGAAGGTCGAGGGGGATCGTTGTGCAGGAGGAAAGTCGCTAATGAGTCAATAAGAAGGAAACTATATAGTCAATAAACAAGTTCACGAGAACAAGGATTTAATGCTTTCTTTCAGAAAAACTGGGCAGCCTCTTTGACCACTATATTCACATAGATGCTCATAGATGCCGCAATGCATAACAAACGAGAGTTGAGAAATTATATCTCTGTTCCTCTATCAGCAGCAAAGACATCACAAGAAACCGAATCATCGTCAGTTTAAAGATCTCAGCAAATCAAGATGAAGGTTCAACCAGGTTAAGTTTCAGAGATCTTCAAAAAAGGCCTGACGATGTTCTTCTGCATGGAAGAGATGGGCATTTCAAAAGCAGAAGTACGACGCGCAATGAGCTAGGCGTTAATCTGCGCTATGCTCCTTTAGTCCTTCCAAGAGATGCGAGATAGGAGATATCGGAACCAATGGACTTGCAAAAGAGAAGACAGAGAGAGTAGCAGGGTTACAGTGTTGTTCCAGCGATCGTGAGCATTGACATCGGCCTTGTAGTCAAGAAGGCAGCGGGCGACATCCATCCAGCCATGGAGAGATGCGACGTGGAGCGGGGTCCGGCTGTCGTAGTCCCTGGCGTTTACTAAGGAAGGGTCCTCTTCCAGAAGCTTCCTCACGGCGGCGACATCGTTCTGGTGCGTATGCCATAAAATCAGGGAAGTCCGACTCACCCTCGCCTTCTCCCTCTGCCTCTCCGTGGAACCCATCCCCGTACTCCCCGCCGACGGCGAGAAGCAGAGCGAAGGCGGTGACGCCGGGGAGGAGGATGAGGAACCCCCCCCACCTTGGGCCTCGCCGGCCTTACCCTCCGTTCCCAGCAGGGAAGCGGAGCCGCCCCCTTCCTTGGTGTTCATTTCAGACCCGTCCACCGTCCCCAAATCTAGGCGCGATGTAGCAGGAGAAGAAAATTGCCAGCTCTTTTTCCCCTGCGCCACAGAGAATCTGGCGAGCGAGGCCACCAGGCACACCTGATTTCCGTCCGTCCCCTCCACGACCCCCGTTCGCAGATCAAGCAAGAAACTCTCAGGGAGATGGCTGGGGGAGGGCCGCGGCAACCGACAAGAAGGGGTCAGGGAAATGAGATGCCCGTAGTCGTTGGCCCTCTCTCTCTCCTCTCTTCTCTCTCTCTCTCTCCCTCTCTGACCAGGTAGCTGCTTACGGTACGACAGCATCACCGTAACACGAATTGATAATAAAATATCACCTATATTTCTTTATTTTCGTAAGCTCGGATGGGGATAAGTCCACGGCGACCGTTTCATGGTTCCCCCGACCGTACAGTGTCACCGGAGAACGGAAGGAAACGTCCGCGAGCCTTCCCAGGCCTCACTGGAGCTACCCCATAAGAAAAAGAGAGGAGCCAGAGAGAGAGAGAGAGGCAGCCTAATCGCGCGCCTCCTAGTCGACTGGGCCTAGAATTTCACTTGGGAGCGGGCTACTCGGATCAGTTGCAGCACGGAAGAAGCGGTCCCGGCGTCACAAAGATGAGAGAGAAATTATTTAATAAGGGATAAGTAACTCCACACCGATCAGTCAAGAATGCAAGGGAAGCATTAGAGTAAGAAAATTAGATCTCCATTATGTGTGAACAGTCAGAACAGTTCTTAAAAGAATGCATAGTTAGAACCAAATTCAAAAAATCTCCATCAACCCCCTAGTTTTGAAAATTCACATTTTTTGAATCATGTTTTTAAAATTTACAAAAGCTTCAAGGAGAAAGTCTTTAGGTTCTATTATAGACCTAAAGACTTATAGACCTCCACAAAACTCTTATAGGCCTCAATGAGATTGTGTTGGGCTACATATTTTGGACTATATGGCTCCACGGATCAGCCATTGAATATAAATACCCAAATAATCTACTGTTTTAAAGGTTGAGATATAAGACCACATGTAACAATGTATGGAATAATGGATGTTCTTACCAAATTAGTATGTAGCTTCTTTTTACTAGAAAAGCCTTTACATGGGTTCAAATGGTGGATGGAGTCATTGAGAGCTTTAGCACAAGTGATCTTCATGCCCTTTGGGTGCTCAAAGATGAAGAACTTGTCTTGACTATTTGGTCGGAAAAGTTGGGGACATGGGGAGTTTTCTCCTTGTTTTTTCTTCACCTTTTTCACTCAAACCTTGACCTAGGAGAAAGGCCTTTTATACCATCCCCCAAAATCTGCCATGTTGTCTTGCGAAGTACTACTTACACATTTCACTATCTTTAGAGCCTGAACTTATTTTTTAGAAAAGAATCAATATATAAGTTTCTATGAGGTAAGACAAAAAATTTCAGAAAATCATTCTCACATTATTTCAAACTTTGTCCTAGTTCATTAAGCCAACATAATCTCAAACCAATTACACATTTTGTTGAAAATTGATATATGTGATAAACTCGAATTGGAGGTTAAATACGTCATTGTGATACAACCAAGTTCATGTAAATAATATTTATAAAACCTCATTCTTTTATTTAGGATAAGTAAAGGTCGATCCTTAGGGAGTGTGGGTAATGAGAGTACGAATTCTACTTATTTTATTTCTTATATAGATATATATATATATACATGAGATTGTGAAGGATGGAATTAAATGTAAAAAAGTAAAGACAAGAGTTATGAAAAGCATGACAAAGGGGAGAGAATAGATCTAATGTAATCAAATGATAGAATAAATGATAAAATTAGTTCGAATTAAAAGTTAATTTATCCATGGAGAGGATTACAAGGACGCTGCAAATCTGGATCTTACACAAATCTCGTTGTGCATCAATCTTTGGTCGAGTAATGCTCGATCCATGATGATCTTGATGTGCTCTAGGTAATCTCTTCTCCACAATGATCTTGGACACGAGAATATTATTAATCAGGCCTTGATTTTCCTCTTGTTTTCTTCGGCTAGCTACTAGAGAGAGAGCCAAAAAGCACCCTCCAAGAGAGGGGCGAGATGCCTTAATCCTCTTGAGAGTTAGGCACCTCCAATGAATAGTTAAGATTAATAACTGACTCTTTTAGTAGACGGCTTCGATCATTCTATGAGGGCAGCGCTTTAATTCTTCTCTTAATCTCATCTTATGACGCCTTAAGATGGATGGCCTAGATCTTATCTCTTGATAACCCTTTTAAGTCTAAATAGGTTAGGCCAAAGTGATGCCCTCTCTTAGGCCCATAAATATATTAGGTTGGCCCTTTCCATAAAACTTATATTTTTCATTGGGCTAAAGGGTTGGACTTCTTCCATTACTTCCAACTCATATTAAAAACTGACCTAAGTCTTTGCAATCAAATAATTATCAAGAAAATATAAGAGAATCACTATTTGACTTTATAAAAGTCAAGTGGGGTTAGTATCATAATATAAATAAAATAGCTAAAATAATATGTACTAAGACTTAAATAATAAAATATTATAAATGTCATAATGAGTTGGTAACACATGTATAATAGTATTCTCTACTCATTAATTAACATCTATATATAAGATATTAATTCATAAATATAACTAATAATTTATAATTATCAATATGCTCAACTTCAACTAAAATTATAGTTGACTCTAAAAACTCATCATCTTCTTTAACTTTGAAACTCAAGTATCTAATGTTAAGAAGAAGAAAAATTCAAATCTCCTCTATTAAATAAAAAATTAACCTCAACATCAAAACTGAAAAAGACAACTAGGTAAGTAATAAGTCTTTATTATCATAAGTTAATAATTAATTAATAATATATTTTAAGTCTTAACTCATGATAAATAGATTTATATTTATGTTAAATTGAGAAAATTAAATTTTAATCAATTAATCTGAATTTTTGGTTAATATATAATTTTATGTAAATTATATAATTTTTTTAATCATATTTTTGAGATAAATAAAGAAAAATAAAATTAAATTAAAAAATATAGAAGGGGGGAACTCATTGGCCAATTGGGCTTGTAAGTGGGTTGAAAACATAGTCAAAGGACCTACTAGGTAGTTAGGCCCACAAGTGTGTTGGAGGTATAATTGGGGGAAGCCACGAACAAGGGATTTGAATGACTGACTAGTTAAGGCACATGTGCATCACTCCCCTTCCACATCATCGGTGGCCAGTCGAGTGTGGGGCAAAGAGTGGTTATACACACATGAGAGAGAGTACAATGATGACATGAACAAGTATTGATAAACCCATACCAACATTCACTAGTAGGTTCGAATTTCAAAAGTGCTAAATTCTTTCTTTTTATTTGATTAAATTGTGATTTTTTTGTAGAACATCAATCAATGATCTATTAGGCGAAATTAGTCAATCATTGATTTTGTCAACACTATTTATAGATCATCATTGTAATTAGTCAAAGATTTTGAATACAAAATTCATAGGTTCTTCAAGAAAATCATCTTCGATTGATCAATAAATGAGTCGTCATCAAGAAGAAGACAATCTATTGAGAGATGAGTCACCACCTCCTCAAAACATATCAAATACGATGAAGAGCCTTTTATTACTGTAGAGACCTAAGAATGAAACTCTTTAAGATGTACCCTACCTCCATTTAGCTTATCTTTATCAGGTGACAAGCACTAGATATCTAAAATTCACCAGATCTATTCTACTAGGTGATAGCTATCGGATATGATTCATTGACAAATTTTATTAATTTCTAGACTTCACAAGATCTAGATATTATCTATGTTTCTATATCTAAGAAAAGCCTTTAATCTTCTCAAAAACTTGGAATTTTGGCAATTGCCATTGCGACACCTAAACTCTACCTTTCCTATTTTAAACTTTTTTTAAAAAAAATTAGTGATATTTTATATGATTTTAAGTTTCAAAAATCTTCTTTGGTCAATTAGGATTTGGTATGTATTTGTCATTGTATTTAAATGTTCGGTATCTAATAATATTTATAACTAAAACTTAATAAAATATTAGTATAGATATAAATCTTAGGTTAAACATAAAGAAATTAATTAATTTATTGTGAAAAATTAATTTAGTTTATATACAGAGTGATTTTAATATTTTATCACTATTTAACATAAATAATAAAATAGAAGGATGAGGTGAAAAGAATAAAGGTAAGGAAGTAGAGAAAGAAAAGAGAGGGAGAGAAAGAGAGAAATCTCACATGAAACGGAGAGAGAAAAATGTCTCACTAGAGAGAGGGAAAGAGAGTGAGATGGATTGAGAGAGAAAGAGAGAGATCTCATGAGAGATGAAGAAAGAAGAAGAGTCTCACAAGTGAGAGGGAGAGAAAAATAAGATGATAATAAAGATAGAGAGAAACATGGTCAACCATTTTCACGATGACCATGATTCTCGAATGAATGTGTGCTCAAGAATTCACACACATGCATGAGGTCAGTCGTGAATGTCTCCACCTTGTTTTAATAGTTCAATATTTATTAATCAACCTTTAATTTCACTAATTTTACATTCAAAAATATAAAAATATCATTATTTGTAGAATGCTAAGAACATAAATACTTCAAGATTTGACTACAAAAATCAATAGAAAATAAGTTAAAAATAATCTTAACTTGATCTTAGATAAGTTTTGGAGGATTTAAAAAAGGAACGAAGATGATTTATTAGGATTTGAATTAGTTCTACTCATTTCAATCAAAATATGCATGAAATAGAAATAACTTACCATCAAATATAAATAAATTAAAAGAACATAAATAAATGACAAAAGTAGTAAATAAATCATTGCCAAGTTTAGTCTGTCTCTTGGGCAACTAGAGACACCGGTGTGGTGGATGCCTTAAGTACAATTAGAGAGGAAGGAATGAGCTCACTAATCATTGGAGGCATTGATCATGCAAAAGAAGAATATAATGAATGTTGTATTCACGACTATTGTCAGGTTT